CGAAAGAAGTTGTCAGAAGTTTATTACATTCAATTATCTACTTCATATTTGCTGTTTTCGTTAAATTGCCCTCAAAGTACTGCCCGATTGTAAATCGCGTTTTTCTGTGTTTGTTTTATTATTATTTTTTGGTGGGCGGGCACGTACATTGGACGCTTTTTAACTTTATTTTGAGTTATGCTCGTCTCCCAGGTATCTCTGCATTTTGTTTTGTTCGTTTACTTTTAGTATTGCTCATGTCAGAGAACCAAAATAAATGTTTAATTGCGACATGCGGCGCCCCGCGGTTAAAATGCCAAACACCCAATTTCGTGATGAGTAAGTAGCTCCCCTGCGCTAGACGCTGTAGTAATAGTATTTATTCCACCAACCAGAATCAATCCAAAGACATAGCCATATTCAAGTTTATTTTTTTCATCCAGGAAAAAATGGCGTGCAAAGTTTGAATAAAATATTTAAATACACAATTCACTGGGGAAGTGAAGTCACGGGGAACCAAAGTTGGTTATCAAGCAGCGACACCTAAAGTAATTACGGTAAGTATTTTTAAGTCATCGAGCTGTGTTACTATCGGTATATTATGTAAATCTGCTCATAACATGCCTAATAAAAATACAAGAAAATATGACTGTTTGCACTTGGACAATAAAATGCTAAACAAAGAAAGTAAATTTGTTCCTAAATTATCTGTGAGATCTGATATTTCATCTGGAATCAGCTGTATAATTTTTTGATCATGGGAACACGTTTTTATCTTTTTCGCTGGTAGTCTACTGTGACAGGTCGCATACCCGTACTACGGCGTTTCGAAATCGTGTCCACATGTTCCAGCATCGCGCTCTTGTTTCCTGTTATTATAAGTTTTGCATCCCTGCTATAAATTGCGTAGTTTGGTAGAAGGAATGGGACAGGATATACCTACTAATACATTTGGAATTACACTTGGTCCACGGAAAATCTCTGGAATATTATTGCACAAAGCGTACGTTCTTCTACAATCTACATCTATTCAGATAGAGCCACAAAGCATTGTTAACACAAATCTGTAAATACCAGATAGAATGGTCAGTATTAAATTCAAATTGACCACTAACTGTCATTATGGAACTAGATTTTAGTAGAAAACCAAATTCCAGGGGAAATAAACACACCTATCCAACGATATAACAACCAAACAAATTTATGAAATATTATAGAACAACAAAAGACAAACATTAATTGTATCTCGAGAAGAATATAGTAATATCTAAATATTTTCTGACGAAAAAAAATGATTGGGAAAAACTTCGGCAAAGTTCAGTATCAAACAAATATGAGGCATTCCTCCGAGCATTGTTGAAATGCGACTACGTGGCGTAGGACTGCGTATACATCTTGACTTGCTCATAATTGATAAAAATTGATATGGTCATCTTGATGTACACGCTACTTTTACGAATTTCAGACTTCAGAGCAGATAAAATATTTGCAAGCCGCAAAAGTCAAAGCAGACATTTTTTAATCTTTCTCTTAGAACAAACTTATAAAGCATGCTGCTGATTTCTCTCAAAATCGGACGTGATCGACCACTAAAGATTTGACCGGTCAATCGCGATTGACGTGTTGGCCACCCTTAATACAGATTATACGATCAACACGACAGTTCTTCGCAATATTTTCACTCAAAGTTACTTTTAAATAAATTACGAATCACTGTAACTAAAAGCAGATCAAATCTTTTGCGTAAAACAACATGTTATTATTCTAGCGAGATACACTTAATACGTTTGACATGCTGTTTTTTTCATTCATAATAATAAATTCTACCAAGAAAAATTATATGATTCAGAAAGTTTTATTTCAGTATATATAATACATTGCACAGGTAGTTTTGCTTAAACGGGTATCAATTATATATCCTTTCAACTCTGTTACTACTTGTTTCGTTGAATACACCGTGTAGCCCCGAAAATAAGACCTAGCTTGAATTTTAAAAATAATTTCTTCCCCTTCAAATAAGACCTAGTCAATAACGCGAAATAGTTTTTTTGACCTAGGCGATAACAAGAAATCTCTTCTACACGCTTTAAATGAGTGATAATCTGTGTTTCGCAGTTATTTGAATGAAACCTGTTTTAAAAGTTAATGGATATGGGCTTCCATATTTTGTATATATTTGAAAATCTCATACTTCTCTACTTTGTAATTTTGTTTTTGATAAATGAAAATATAAGACATCTTCCGAAAATATGCCCTAGTGTTATTTTTCGAAAGAAAATTTAAATAAGACACCCCGTCCTATTTTCGGGGAAATACGGTAGTCATTACGGGAACAAAAATTGGAATCACTGGAATGCTTACTTCGCTAAAATAAGCTGAAAGACTGTGCTACTTAACTTAGCAACCTGAGAACTTTTAGTGGCGAGAACTTTGCATTAAATTAACGCTTTCCTAATAATTTGGAAGAGAAAACCATTGGAAATGATACGAGATCATAGTTAAGAAGATTAACGTGTGGTCAATTTATTGACATTGTGTTACAGTATAAGGTCAGTTAACCACTTTGAATAGGATAAAATATAACGAACAAGAACGGAATCTCCAATGGAATACCACGCAGTTTTTCGTATCCTACTTTAGGCAGAAGAACAACAGAACAGAACATTGTAGCACATGCCAAATTCAGTCAGGATATTGTTTTATGCGACTGATTCTGACTAGTACATTGGCATAGCTTCTATTGTACATATATATGACATCTTATACAGGAGCTTAACATTGCGGTCTGGGGTTAGAATGTCCCACTGAAAAATAATAGAAGAAAAAAAAAATTTAAATCCTCATCAAGACTCAAGAGTATCATATTTATGTAAATTCATGTAATGTATTTCTGTAAATACTTTTGGCAAAAATGATCGATCAAATGTCTGATAGACACGGAGTCTAATTATGAGCCGTTTCGCTACTTGGTTATTAGGAAAATCGCCTTTCTTCGCAACTACTCAGCCAATTGATTTTTACAGTATTTGAAAATGAATGATGCCGATGAAAATCTACTGCAAATGTTATCTACACTGGTTTGAGAAATAGTCTCCAACCAAAAGTGAAGCCGAAGTAAATAAAAAAGGAGCGAGACATATGAATTGGGTAAACAGAATATGGACAGAAGAAATCGCAGGCCATTCGCTGTTGAAGTAAGAATTAGTAACTAACTCATTATAAAATTATTGATATGGTGTTGCAAGTAGCCTAATTCTTATTTATTTATTTTATTAATATTTTTGTTTACTACCAGTTTGTAATTTATCGCGTTCTTCTCACTTTATAAATTATCTATGGCTGTGTGTGTGTGTGTGCGTGAAATAATTCAACTATTTTAGGAGAGTGAACACATACCAATTCTTCTTGACAAAACTCCCATCCTATATATATTTTGTACGTTTTGAACATTGTCAAGATTTTGCTTGCTCCCCTGATTTCATTCATAATCACTTTTTATTTATTTGTTTTTATCAATAATTTTATTGTTGTGCTGATTATGGAGTCGAAATAAACTTATATAAGTACTTAATTCAGCGTCCCAAGTTACCTATCAGGAATGATTCAATGATGAATCAGAAGTGCTGAGTTTGGGGGGAGGTTGTTTCATTTAACGGAATGGCGGGATAACGCAAGCACAATTCAGCGTTCCTCGCCTATGCTTGATAAATCCCTAATTATCTCAGGTTTAGGGCATGTCAAATAAGCGATAGCTGGATAGCCTACAACAATTGCGCATTTAAAACAATTCTCGGCGCGCCAATCCGAAAAATTGCTGCGACGATGTTGATCATATATGCCTCGACAGAAAGCAAGACGATTGCAAAAGTCTATTGAAACTGCCGAGTGGCATAACGCCTATATTTCAAGAAAGACAGCGCTTCAGAGGACATGTTGAGGTTATGGGTATATTCGTGTGCAATGCAAGAGAGCCCATTTTTTCCATTAATTGTTGATGGGGACTCATTCTTTGTAGCGTACCTGGTTTGAACTGCGATAACTAGTGGGCCCAAAGCGAGATATAAGTAAACAGTCAGATGCCAAGCGTACCCGATATTCCGCGATTACACCATCATCGGGATCAATAAGCTCCCGAGATGCTGTCACTCTTCATATGAGAGAAAATCTCGACGTTGAGCCAAGCTTGACACGGACGGGTTATGAAATAACCGGTCCACGTCACAAGTTTTTAGTGAATAGATTACGCAAGACCGCCATTCTTATAGTCCAAAAGGGTAGAACTGGTGGTGCGCATACCGCCGGGCAACAAAGCCGGAAAGCGAGGAAGTGGAGAGTCGCTGGAATTAGTCAGTTAGCGCGAGCTAGAGTTTGTGGTGACCAAATCATATTGACGACGAAAATTTGAAACGGTCGTATCTTGGAACATGCTTATTAACAAAGTGTAGAGAGTTACTCCAAACGCCGGAGTATTTCGAGTAGCCTTGTGATCGTGATCGAATATTGAGGAGGCTATTATTATATCTGCGAAAATCTATTTAAGCGACAATTGTTCATATGTAAACACCGCTATAAACTAAGCAGTTTGCCGTCCCAACATAAAACTTACGGCTTATATTAACCTGCTCACGACAAACCAGGCAATTAGTCGAACAATTCATCCTTTGCAAAATGCTCGTTGACTCACCCATTCGTCCATGCCTGATATGATCTTTGTGTTGGTCCACGGTCCAGGTCTCTCGGATTACATCACGTGGCCGCGTCCAACGTGTCGTGGTTGTGTTTTATTGTTTCTTTATTTTTGATTCGGACGCGGTTGAATGAACTTTAGTGATGTAATAAAGAGACAACAAGAGCTGCGCACACGTGTGTGCCCGACTTGTGTTAAAACGAGAGAAAAAGAAAAAGGGGAATTTATAGAAAATAAACAAAGGCGTTCACGACAATATTTTGCCAAGTAAGCACGATTTAGGGCCATTTGCACGTGGGCCAGTGTTGTCACTTCTTTGTCGCATTGAAGATGAGGAACGGTTCTGCCAACTATACTACACTTTTTAAGGTCCAAATGTCCATTTTAGCATACGTTAAATTTGTGATCTTTTTGTATATATATTTTTTTATCAGAACCGAGTTGGAATCATGAAATAGGTGAATAGTATAATTTTGTTAGCTGAAGTAGTGTTGGAATAAGATGATTGAAAGTTGAGTGCTTTCTCTTAGTGGCAGTAGTACTGAAAAGAGGAATCGGCCTGTCCGCTAGTTGAGGCAAATAGCTTGTCTGATTCAATCGCTGTGATTTAAAATATCTTCACTTTGTTTCTATACCACAATTAACCTAACTGACGGACCTTTCCAATCACCTATTTTGACCTAGCCTAAATCTATAGTTCCCAATTTGAACTCATTTTAGTACTAGTTTTTTAAAATGTGCCACCACAGCATCAAGTTATATTCTGAAAATTGAATTGCTTAAATGTTAATGTTTTATTTTCATCTAAAAAGATTTCAGCTTTAAAAATGAGTATAGAAACTCTGCTAGAAGCAGCTGAATATGTTGACAAAGTTGAAACTACTAAAGATGGCAGAGTCACAGCTCAGCAGACACAAGTGACCTCACATGAATCAATGAATGCAGTGAAAACGTCTAGCACTAATGCTGGAATTATGAAACATTGGAGAAAAAGGGCAGTTGCACAATCTGTAATGGGTATGTTACGCTATGTATATGTCTAATATGTTATGTTTCTCCAGTTATTAAACTCTGATACTTTAATGTGGGGTTAAGTAGGCTATCCATAACAAAAAGGTGATAAATATTACTTTGTTATCAAATCATAGCCACGGTTTAGCGAGATAGTATCTATTTTTTTTTCAATTTTAAATAGTTTATCAGTCTTATTTTAAATAGTTACAATTAATTAAACTGAAAATGATTTTGAGGCCTACTTCAATATTCAAAACATTACTAGAATATACAAACACTTTTTCATATGTCAGAAAATTTGTTCCTTGAATATTGAAATTTACCACAACTGTAAAATTTAAATTACGCCCAATAGCAGTCTATCCTTTCGAACAATGGTCTTTCCTTCATTTGTTATTACATAAAGTCCTACAGCCTATAAAATCTATCTATCCGAACAGTGGTTGTGAATTGGCATGGTTTGCATATACCTGAAAATGGTGCTGCCTGACGTCTCATATAATGTATTGTAGAGGCTGTGTAAGAATTCAACAACCCTTACCTCCTGACTGCTGAACAACATTGGGGATCAGTGTTTTTGACATTAAAATATTACATCAGTATAGACCACCAATGTGGAATGTACTATAACAGTGAACAATTTTAAATTATTCAACTTCAGACTAGTCATTATTGACCTAGATACTTTCGGAAAGAGCTTTCAAACCCTAGCGGTCTGCCCAAGTTGTAATCTGAATGGAGGGCATATATATCGCTAATTAGTGTCATTGCCCTATATAAATATTTCCAATTCTTACTGTAATCCAATTCTAATATAATCATTATATATTTCAAGTTTGTTTGTATTTATTTTTTTATCTATTTTGTCGAGATTTTGCCTTTTTTCACCTCTGGTCAATAATGCATCATCTCATCAAAACTTAGACATATCAACTTTAACATAACTCAAAAAAATTAACATATTCAAACTTGTATTAAAATTTCACACTGGAGAATATTATTCTAAATATTTTGGCATAATTACTATTATCAAATAGTAATCTTTCAACTTGCCATCATGTCATGTAAAAATATCTATACATAGTAACATTTTTACAGGCACGTTATTGAATCTGATAAGAACAAATTAATTTCGACTGCAATTTCAGCTTTTATGTTTCAGGATTATTTGTATATTTGGTAACAAATAAGCGAGGAGATGGCATCACATGCATTCATCTGATTGGACTGGATAAGGCAACAAAATGCCACACCCTCTTTTTTATCTTTAATGTTAAATCACTAGCGAGATTTTTTTCATTTTAATAACTGTATTCATGCTTTCTTAAATTTTGTTAAAATTAAATTATTTTTTGTAATTATGATACTTCTTTATATGTGAGTTCAAGTATTCTACACTTACATACCCAGTTGAGCCACATTCTGATGACACATTTGCCCTGGGGCTGGTTTTTATCATGATTTTCGCCAGACGATTCAGTTCACTCACTTATCGTATTCACATTTCAGGAAAACATCTTTTCCAAGCAGAACTGATGCTTACTTCTCAATTGCCATTTTATTCGATTCAAAACATTATGATAAAATAAACCCTGATTATTCATTAGAAACTTAGATAATAAATGATGTAATGTTATATTTAATAAAATATAACTGTTAATCAAGCCAGCACTTTTTATAATTTTAAGCTCTTTAATTATTATAATTTGTGAAACAGCATCACACTAAAGACCTTTTTTTCTTTCAGAACAAAGCCAAAGTAATGTTCCACTTCCTAAAAACATTTCATCTTTTAGCCAGGTAGGTCCGTTGATGTCCTTAAAATTTGAAAAAAAAATCACACATGAGTAGCAAACTATCGATTTCAAATCCAATACTTAACTGAATCATTCAGAGGTTTGCCCAAATTTTTTAACAATATAAAGGGCAGAAAGCAAACTGGCTGAGGCAATGTAAATATATATACCTTGATTGACTATGAGAAAAAGTAGTTATTTCAACCTTTCAAGTACCCAATCATAATTATTGGTTGATGTGATTGTCTCTTGGGCCTGATCTTATGGATGAATGTATCTAAATTATAGGTAGCAATTATATTTTAGCTTTTATGTAGGAATTAGATGAAGACCTCTTGTATACACGCACATATATATATAGGTTTTAAGTCTAATTCTATATGCATTATGATTGAATCAATTTATTTCATAGAATGCTACGAGTGAAATGGTAACTGAGAATCCTGTAACTGTGAGCCAGATTAAACCTGTTGCTGTTCCAGGCAAATTACCTTTTCGAAATGACAGTTCAGTTTTGAATCCAGCTTTTTCTCAGGGTATGGATAGATCTTCATCTGCTGCTATTTAATCTAATAAAACTAGATAAAGGCTAATGAATGTTAATTTTTTTTCACACTGTCTTGTTAACTGTAAGCGTTAGAGAAATTTCTATATTTTATTTAATAGGCTTTATTGTTACTTTGATATAGATCAGATACTGTAATTTGAATAAAACAATAACGTTTCGTTTCATAAGCATTTTTCATTGGTATGTAATGATTTCTCAAAATTCATTTAAAATAATGAGAACTTCGATGTGGCCTATTTGGTATCTGCTAGATATTATGAATGCATGAACCACAGATAATTTGCATATATTCTGAAATGATATTTTCAAATATGAAAATGAAATATTGTGTATATTTTAAAATGAATTATGTTCAGGTCGACAGGTAAATTCATACAAGAATTCATTTTCAAATGAAAATTTCAAATTGAATATACGTGTTCAAATCGTCAATTCGATTAATTTTGGGCATCCTTGTTTCTGCTATATTATAATTCATTACTTGTTTCTTCAATCCGATATCTTCAAATGATAAAAATGGGGGTAGATATTTTATAGTGTTGAATTTAGTTTTCTATGGACAATACCAATTGTTCGACACCTATCTTTTTATTACGTTGTAGTAATTTATGTGTTCTCTTGTATTATTCAGAAGCAATGCAGTCTACACCAACACTGTATAGAGTTTCATCTAGACAGAATATGATAATCCCTCAACTTCAAACCATAAAAACTGTCAATGAATCTTCATCCAGTGAAAATCAAGTCTTTCGAAATTCATCCGCAAAGCTAGGAATTACCTATACAGACAATGAATTACAAAATATTGTATCATCTTCATCGAGTTCCCAAACCTTCCCCGCTCCTCCACATATTGTTGCAGTCAATACATTTTCTCCAATAGTGGGAGCCGGGTCAAACAGTTCCACAACCGTAGATGGAAAAGGTAAACATTATCTTTAAAGTACAATTATAGTCGATTTTCGTATTATCCTGCAGCCGAGAAAAGCCGATAAGATGACTTATTATCATATGGCAAACCATGAACTTTCCACCCTTTACCAGTCCATGTCAGGCATGGAAATAGTTATTATTCAGTCAATTGTCCCATATGGACTATGATTGGAAAAAAGCGCAATTCATCTTTTGTTTCATGAACTACCATGCAATGTTGTGGGGTTTAGCAACCATCTTGTAATTATCGCACCCAATATGTGAACTCATGCTGGGCTATTGTAACTTGGCAAGACAATCTGATCTGAATATGGTTGCCAAGATAGTCATTTTTTCTCGAGGCTACAAAATTTATAATGTTATTTCAAATCATTTTCTTTTTTAGATGGTCATTCAATGTTGCAAAGTTCAATAAGTCATAATAAAATTGTATCTGCAAAGCAAGATATTTTGAGTCCGTCAAAGCAGAAAAGCCCGCTGGGGTAAGCAGTTACAGAGCTTGCTGTTGTAATACCATTTTACCTTCTATTCAATATTTTATATCCCGTGTATTCACATGACAACAAGCAATCAGACATGTGGGTTGATGTACTTAGAAATATTTTTTTTCGCTAAATTTACCATGTATTGAGCCAGTGCCGTGCTCGATAGAAGATTGCTCTAGATCTATGGTTTTCTAGCATAAGGCAACATGTTATTAAATCTTTCCTCAAAAACACCTTCATTTGTAACGTGTCCTTGCATATCCAATTGTCCAGATTCATTCAGTGTCAAGGTTTGCACCTAATTTACAGATCTACTATCGTATGTTTCATTTTATAAAACTGATTTTTCAGTGCTGGAACTCGAGAAGCTCATAACAAATTAGAGAAAAGCAGGTGGGGTATATTTTAATTTCTATTTAATGCATTTGAAAAAATTGTTTATCTAACATTTATTATTCAGACGTGCTCATCTGAAGGAATGCTTTGAAATGTTGAGAGAAGTTGTTCCGAGTTTGGGCGCAAAGAAAGACTCCAATCTTGTTGTTCTTCGAGAGGCATTTAAATATGTGCAGGTGGGAATATTTTAAAAGCTATACGTAAATTTATTTTATGATGTAATTTTTGAGTTGTAAACTCTTTTTTACTTGTTGAAATTGATTTAGAAAAAAATATACCTTTATTATGGAACTTATTTACTTATCTATGTAAATGTTTTGCCCTAACATAAAATTTATCGGACACACAATATAAAATTATAATATCATCCATATATTCAAAGCATAACAAATATTTCAAGTGACGCTTGTATTCTCCTTCCTTACCCATATATATAATTGCTGCTTACAACTCGGTTTGAATTGCACACTTAGTTTTGAATATGATTGAGATCATGGCTCTTTTTACTGCAAACCACGCGAATAAAGTGTGTAATTGAAGGCGTTCAATGTTAACACATTTGCTGTAGTCTTACCCGTCAAGTTCAGAAAATTCAACCTAATAAACATTAAAATGCAAAGATCTAAAGTTGTAAGATTTTCGCCCTAGCAAATTGTAATAAACTTAGGATAAATAAAGAAATCTAAAATAAATTTAGCTGTGAACACTTTAGAAGGGTAGCATTCCAGTTGGAGCCGTTGTTTTATATATATCTAAGAAGGATGTGTTGACAAGCCACCAAGAAATCATTTTCCCTTTTTGAATTAAATATATTCTTATTTAATTCCTTTTTATTCTTGGTGTGAAATTGATGGCCACAATCATTGACCGGTGCCGATTCAATGAATTACTGACCAGCACATGCCATTATCGTCACACCGCAAACTCCACCATGTATTGCGTCAGAGCTGATTCGTGCGCTCGTTTATTCTCTTTGTTTTATCGTCTCATCTTTTTACACGTGCTCACACTACCGTACAATGCGTCCGCGTTGAATAATCACGCTCGCGTCACAGCCATGCTGCAGTTTGTTGTCTCTTCGGTACAAAAACGAGAGAATATTCTATTTGCTTCTCAAGATTTCAACTTCGATCGGGTCGGGTCATTAATCATTACAAAAACGAAAATTGTCTAGCGTTTATGGCCTACGCCTAGACATTTTTTTTTCTCTTATGCTAAACGCCATTGGAGGGAAATCGCAGAACAGGGTTTTAAGACTGAAACGTGCTTTTTCAGTCCGGCGAGAGAACATGGCAGTCTACAAATATCACGTGATTATAATTTCACCAAGAAGCCGGTTCGCGATTGGCGGAAACCTTCAGACGAATTTTCTCTTGACGTTCTTTGACTTGTTGCGAAATGCGGTGTCAACGAGTTTAATTTCTCGTTCTTTGGCCAAAGTATGCGCTGCTTACAGATTGTTGCGGGACGCGTTGGGCTGTTTTAGTTTACATTTCACAATCTAGACAGATGATTTTTTTTATCCATTGTACAAAAAATTACCATATATAAGGTAAACACACATGGCGGAAATTTAATGAAGTTGACATGACAAAATACGATATTACATGCAATCTCACAAAACACTAACGAGATACTGTTGAGGGCTTCAGGCAAAACGCCAAGATGCCCTTGTACTTAAATCAAACTAAACAGGCTATCAAAGTGAATAAATTTTCAGGTATTCTGGATACAGGTTGGTATGACATACTATCCAATGGCATGACAAATTGATAAGCAAGCCTGCAAAAGATAATTCGACTCCCAAAAAAATGCGTCATATTTCAAATATCTACAAAAAATCAATTTTCAGTCATTGAAGCGCAAAAGTCAGAAGCAAGAAAATGAACTGGATTTGCTAGCTAAAGAAAAGATTGAAAAAATCAAGCGATTGAACATACTGCGACAGAATCTTAGCAAATATATGGACCTAACAAGGATTAGCAACATTTTGGATAAAGTTAAACAAAATGGTGATTTTTTGTATTTATATCCTATATGTATTTCCCATTTTTTTTTAAAGGAGACCTTAGTCGTTTAAAATCTATCCCATGTGTAAAAATGCAAAATAGCATTCGATTTTTATGTGGAATGTGGCCATCATAAATTCACTTTGTTTTTGGAGTTTTGGTCGGGTTATGTATATTTCATTGTGCGACTTAGTAAAGTTGAATTGTTTAAGGTACTTTTTCCTCTGTTCGTTTTTTCATATTTGAGATATTAAAATATATTTGATGTTAGTCTGATGAGAATTGAAGCGAGCATTGGTTATTGTGATCTTTAACCCTTTCCATGCGAATTTTATTTTTTATTAAATAATCGTATTTGCTACGCCGACTTTATGCATTTGTACCCCCACAACTAATCGATCGACTAACGAAAAAGTAATGATCCTCTGCTGCCCACTGACGGCTCGTTGGAAAGCTTATTTAAAGAGCTTGCAACTGACGTTTAAAAATTTTTTTTTTTTTAAAGGGGTGGTCTGAGTCACAAACCGGATAAAAAGAATACATTTATTTTTCTTGGGTGTTGAAAATTCAAACAGTGATAAAAAATAGAAATATTCGCTAAATCCTTTGCTGTTACTGCTTCTTGGTTGGCAAACAATAGCATAATATTGCTGTAGCAATTTCGTTATCTAACTCAAAATACTTTGGTAGATGGAAGGGATAATATGTCTTCTATTACCACCCAAAAAACACCGAAATTTGCATAAATTTCAAAAACACTCCCTGGTTCCGCCGCAAATAAAATTCCCATGGTAAACGAAAGCGAGATTTACCGTCGCTTATGTTAATCTCGACGAAGACTTCTTATCAATAAACTAAAACCCGGAAAAACTAGACCAACCGTTTGCGACCGATTGCTAAATAAAACAGTGGAGTACATCAACGTACCCGCCGCAATCTAGCGAATTTTGTCGTGGGTACGTATACGTGCCCACCGCACGGAAAGGGTTAATTAATTTTATGTTAATTCATTTTTTATATTACAGCCACACATCCCGATTTTCATCCTGCTGAAAATACTGACAATGTGAAGCAAATTGAATCAATTCAGAGCACTGTTCATTCAAATACATTTTTGTCACAGTTAATAGATGAAGGTCCCATAAGTAGTTTTGTATCATCAGGCCTCCCTCCTACCTCTACTAAAGCAAACCCGATATCAACAATTAGCAATCCAGGTGTTATTACTAATGCAAGCTCTGCTACAGTTGTTGTGTCTACAAGCAAATACAACACTGTTGTTGCTCAGTCCATATCCACAAATAAACCTTTGACTATTCAGCATGGGACAACAAGTTTAAGGCAAATAGGCACAACACCGCCATACAGAACACCACAGAGTATAGTAGCTGATAAATCCTTTTTGCATAATATGACACCTTTAGCAAACCTTCCAGTAAGAAGCCATCCATCTACTGTCCGACTTAGCCAAATATCGGCTGACTTTCCACCTGGGAACTTGCCCCAGTTTGATACAATAACTGCAAAAGCTCATAAAATTCCCAGTGTGAAGTCATACAAAGGCAGGTTAGTTTCTGGAATTACTGGAATAACTATTGATGGTTGCCCAAATCCATTGAAGATAGTTGTAAAGCCTGTTGACAGTGCAAAACAGCAAGCAAGAGTTGTCTTCAAGTCTACTGATAATACTAAATCTACAATGGAAAACAGCAGGGTTTGGCAGAAACAGACAAGTCAACGGTCTCGACCCACTGAATTGGTTCATCGACCAAGATCGTCTTATACTCCACCCCCTCCTTCAAGAATAACGCCATACTTTCCAAGATTTTCTGTAGGATCTGGTGGAAGTCCTCCCCTCACAACAATATTACCTAATATAAATGATGTCGATATGCAAAAGACTACAAAAGGTTAGTATGGTATACAATCTTTTTAACGTTACTTATATCTCACTATCTTATTCAACTCATTGCTTGTCAAGGTTTCGGTATCGGTATATTTAGCCTGTTAAATATTAGACATGGACATAGGAACTTTTATTTTCTTTGACTTTGTAATATTCAGAATTAATTTTGAGTTATTCTTTACAGGAATATCATTATTTAGGCCTGAAGAAATTGTCATCGTTTATTCAAAATATAACGAATATAGTGTAAATCCAAAAATAAAATAGTGTTATAACAATTACACGCATCTTTACTACATTTTTAATATACATTTCTGAGCATAATGTTCAATTTTAGATAAGGAAACCGAGGTTTTACCATCACAGAGCATGTTTACAGTCTGGAGATCAAAAAGTGATAGTTTTAATCTCCCAACTACTGAACAAAAGGTTATTGCTATTGCTATTCATTCATATTTGGTGTTTAGTGTAATTTCGAACCTCAAGTACTTCTAGTGAGCGTAACAATTTTTGCATATGTCTATATAAATAAACTATCCGAACTGTCATCCAAGACGTGCAGACGGTCTGTCACCTGAAATCGAGCAAGCTATTTCTCTCGTTTTCTTGTCGTAACGATCCCTATATGAGAGAGATCGCTGTCGTTATTGAGTTTATTATACTTTGGCAAGCTCTATGATGTGATTGTAACATAATTTTTGGGCGACGTAGTCAGGTGGGAGTTAGGATTGACATATGCAAAAAATGCTACACTCACTAGAAGTACTTGAGGTACGAAACTACCCTAGACCCCATATTTGTTTTCTCAAATTATTCAATTTATGGAATAATTTTTTTATTTTTATCAATTCATTAGACCAACATGAGAATGTAAACATCAATTGTAATAGATATATCCAAAAAATATTTTAATAGAGATTTGAGATTTATGTTGTGCTAAGAAGTTGTGTATGATTTGAGATTATTGAAATTACTATTTTTCTGTAGAATTATTTTGCAGTTAAATTTTATTCTTATATTTTAATACTCTTATAAAATAAGTACACTTGTTTTTATCAAAATGTAGATTAAAAGGAAATTGTATTATAGTATTGGAAGGTCAAGTTGTTGGAAGTTTATGTAGTACTCCTCTTTGTTTCATTGCTGATTCAAATCTAACATTGTATGAACATGAGTTTATTCTTAAAGCTTCTTTCTTATTATAACATAACAAATATAGCTTTTTATGGCATTGTACTCTTTTAAGACTATGCAATGTATTTAAGATGTATTCATAATTTAACATGCTTGAACCTAAATATTTGATTTGTTTCAGAAGCAAAGTGCTTCTGCGAAAAAGAGAAAATTGCCAATGATGAATACTGTTGAAAAACCTGTTAAAACTTTTATAAGTGCGGTACCATACCCTACAAAGAATGCAGGTAGGTTTTGATAATTGGGCTATGAGATTTTTATAATCTGCTAATTCTGTAACTTTATTAAATTGAGCTGGTTCTTTCTGAATTATAGCTCATGATGTGGATAGCAGTATTGGATAATCCAGGTCTTGATTGAGTCTTTCAATAAGTTAAATTTCACTGGCGTTTAGTTGAGTACAAGTCATTTCATTCAAATATCTCAAGTCTTCTCAACGCTGCGTAGTCAAAGTATATTGCCATAGACTACCTTAATTAGAACTCTTGTGTGTTTAGGGATGACTATGTCCCACATGCCTGGTTCAGAGTCTGAAACAGATAGCGAGACAGAAACCAAAACTATCGGCTGGAAGAATGTCGTAAAAAATGAAAATTATTCTTCAAGTAAGTATATATTTCTTCATATTATCTATAGTCAAAAGAAATGTCTAAAAATAAAAATAAAAATAAAACTGTTGTAAAAACAGACAAAAAATATAGAAGTTCTCTGAAATACCAATTTAATTCAAAAATTAAACTAGAATTTGCTCATGTATTGACAGCATTTACCTCAGCATCAATATGACCTATTTCGAGTTAGCTTTAAAAAGTTTAAAACTGATTTTCTGATTTTTCTGATTATACTCTTAATCTGCACAGCAAATCGTACTTCACAGGAATATTTTTGCAATTTGAAAGACACTGCAGAAATTATTTTTCGAGTCTCTCTGCTGGGTATTCGAGTTACAAGTGTTTATGAAAGTTAACTTTAGCTGTTTATGGTCCTTAAAACAGATGACTTTTTTCTGATTCTAGTTTCTCCAATGTTAGTATTTACAATCTGTAATATAGTTTTGTATAGGTTTCTTTTGGTGATGAGTATTCTGTACGTATTTTTACAAATATTATATTTAAACAGCACCTTCTTCAAATACTTTCAAGTCTCTACCATCACTGCCTTCAACAATTTTGTTTCCTCCACCCAGTTCTATGAAGACTAACAGATCTGTCACACAGGTATAACAGGGACGCTTTGTTTGATTCTCTTTGGTGTGGATTTAAATGTGATGTTGCGTTTTAATATTTGTTGCTGATAAACTTGTTTAGAGTCTGAGAATCTGCTCGTATTAGGAAACATGAGGTGTTAGATGTGTTGGCTCCTGCTTTCATGCATATCTTAATTATCTAGCTGCAAGTCCTCAAATTCTTAATAGTTCAATGCTTGGCCTGTTTATATTTATTATTTGATTTCGCTTTAGCTATTTTTTTGTCAAAAAATATAAACGATATTGAATATTAAAAAAATTTTCATATTAGATTTTTACTTGTAAAGGGTGACACGAAGTGTTCTGTAGAGTGACAAATGGTAACAATTGCTAAAGATATATATGTGTCATCACACCCAAAATATTTAGCATGAATTTGGAACACTTGTGTATTGTTGAAAATCACAGTAAATGGTCAACTTGTGTAATTTCGAAAAACTCTCAGCACATCGTGCCTTTAACCTTCTTCTTCTTTCTTCTTAACCCCATTCACATATTATATACTGACTGAATATAGTATGTACTGACTGAGGTATATGTCTTTACTCTGTTATTGAATTTCATAGGTTTGTTATTCAACTTTAAAGAGTATAAAACCAACTACAGCTATCCTGCCATCGGCATCCACTCAACAACCAATGAACATTAATAATAAAAATTCACAGAGCACTCTGTTAGTTCCAGGTAATACTTTGATCCATGTTGTAAGGTTATTTATTATATTCCGGTCATTTGAAAGAGTTATATGATATAGTGGTATAACAATAAAGTATGGTTTATAATTGTAAATCATCCCGATATGAAGGCTTTCGTAATGTATATTTGAAAGGCAAAAAGACACAAACATAATCAACATAAAGCATATGTTTATAAATTAATATCATCAAAATTGTTGTTTGATATGTAGAAGTGATTCAAATATTGTAGGATTGTAACAATATTAAATTATTTGATTATCTGTGCAATTTGATCTGGGCACTTCAAAAACTCTTTTTTTTAAAATTCAGCTAGTTGGAATTTAAATTTGGTCCATGCGCTTGCTCTGATGCAGTTTATCTAGAACCTTCTTCGTGTGATATTTTCTGTTTGGCTTTAAATGCATTTGTAATCAGGAAAGTTATTAATCATTAGTGTTATTATTATACGACTAACAAATATATCATTCTATCACAGCAAATCAACTTCAATCGCAAGGTATTTCTCACATGATTTCAGCTCCAAGACCAAGTTCGTATATTGCCACTTCAATGAGTACTGGCATCAACATATCTCCGATAATGCCTAACCTTGCGTATCAAATCGTGAGTCCTGCAAGTATGAATACATCTGTTGTACAGCAAGCATCATCTATTTTCGAACATCACAATAAGTCACAAGCATCTTCAGGACCTTTGACGAACGTTATCACTGTTTCTTCGAATATAGCCACCAACTGGCCATCATATTCAAATCAAACAACAAAGCCATCGGCTATTCCTGTATCTGTGCAGTATAATCTCGCAGCGACTCAGTTTTCAGGAGTTTCCTCCGCTACAATTGCAACAACATCTAACCAAATTCCACAAGTACAATATATTATACCTGTTGGTTACCCCAGTATGGTAGCTGCCAATCCAGGTGGTGCACCTATGGCACTTCCTTCTGCAATGGGTGGCTTCATTCCTGTAATGCCACAAGGTCAAGGATGGGGATATATGATGCCACAAAATATGGTTGCACCATCTCCTAATAAATCCATAGATCGGGAAGTTGTCACTAATAATGTTATAGTGGATTCTTCAACAAATGATATTTCATATAATGGACAAGATGTTCCAAAATCCAGCAACAATAGTACACAATTTTCACAACCTGGAAATGCTTTGACAAACTCTGATCCAAAACTTCAAACTCCAGTAGCAAATCCTGTACAACAGTTACAAATATTGCCAACTGGCTTTCAACACTCTAACCATGTAATGATGCCCATGGCTCCAGGCCAAGGTGGTGGATTTATAATAGGTGGGGCACCAGCCATTTTACCATCTGCACAAACAGGAGCAGGAGAGGGTGATGCCCGAACTGGTAATGTAGGATATCAGCTTCCCATCATTGGATATCCAATGCAACTAGGAGGGGCATCTCCAATACAAATAGCAGCAATGCCAAATGCAACATTCAACTTTCCAGGGGTAAGATGCTATTCTGTAAATTATAAGTGTGATGTGGATAATCAAATTAAAAGGATGTTCATGAGAAAAATTGGATTTAACTACAGGACTTTGACATGGCTACTCTGTGATAATATCCATTCATCTGATTTTTCATTAAAGCAATGATATTTTGCAGCTTTAGTAGTAAGATGATTTGTTATCATTCATATTTGTGAAGATACTTTAAATTCATTATTTCTAGAGGAAAGATGATAATTAGACTCGATAATCATAAGAGTCTAGGTCTAGTCCAGTTAAGAGTATTTAATTAGATTGCACTCGTTAGATAAAATATTGTTGGGTCTTTTGTGTCTTACAAGCTCACCTGGCACTATTATGCATTAATGAATGACTTGTCATATGCCAATATGCTGTTTTATTGGTTTAAAAATCCTATCCTATGTTACTTGCATAAACATAACATGCTTAATTTCTTTTACAGGGATTTATTGGATTTGCAGGAGGCATACCGGCGCAAATGATGACCGTTCAAGACAAGAATATGAATCCATCGGCATCATCTAACTCTGTCAATATTCCTTCAAAAAACAATGCAGGTGGTGGTGCATCCACCTGATATTGTGAGCAGTATATTTTAGCAGAAGTCACAAATTCATCTCAATGCACTTATCAGATTTTGTACTCTTTCCTTTATTCTTCTTCCTACTTTTTTTACTTGTGTTTTCATGTTTCGCATAATAGTACTGTTTGTAATTTATTTCATTTCTGAAAGTTGTTCCATTTTTATAAGCTGGAATCAGCTGATGATTTTGTGATTCATGATATCTTGATTCTTTAATATATATATATATATAACATATATTTTCCAGAGTCCTAGCTTTCGAATATCAATTTTGTGAATAAATTTTCTGATTTACCATTGGTTTTGATGGTTGAAGTTTGACGTTACTGTTAATCATAAGCATTGACTCATTGCATATTAACAACGCGATTCTGGAAAAATTCTAGAATTTCAATACAGCTGTGTCCTGTTTTTTTTCGAATCTGTTCAAAAATGACCACAACATATTTTATTTGTATAATGATCTTTTTTGTGTTGTTGATATCATTTTGGGGAGTCTGTAAATTTTTTTGGGCCACAGTTAATTTGCTTTTGTAGACTGGTAAGGCTATATCTACATGCGCATATACCAGGGATGGCGAACCACTGACGCTTTGTGACCAACTGCGTTTTATTCGTGACCCGCCAAGGCACTAATAAAATAAAAATAAAATGTAACATATCAGTGATAAAAAATTGATAAAACTGGCCTTAAATTAATCTAACAATAACTAAACCATTATAATGTACCGTCAGTTGGGCAGTGAGGGCTGCGACAGCTCGTATTGCTAATTCCGGGCTGGAAAGGTAATTTTCAAAACCCGTAATCTTGGACGCATTTCTGCACGGCTGTGTACCGTTATTCAGCTATTGACTCTGACATAGTTTATGACATAACAGTGCAATTGATCTGTTCATTTCTCGCAACGTATTGTCTCTTTCGGAAGTGCATCTGCAGACTGTTTTAGGGGTTATACGAGAACTAGATGCTACTTTGCATTTTATTAGTTTCTCGCCTACAATGCAGTTTAGAAAACAAAATCTCTCAGACTTGATATAGAAATCTGAATTAACAATGAAGCGACAAATGTAAAAGTGCCTTAATGCGGATGAAAAATATAACGCTATCAGAGTGGGATTCCCACCAAACTCTTTGGAACCGTAAAATAATTTACCGCATGATTCTAAACGTTTTTGGTAATGCATATGCGTGTTTTCGTACTCTCGTTTCGTTTCAGAAGTTTCTTATAGATACCAACATTGAATAATTATCTGTGACCCACTCTTTTCTGTTCCGCGATAAAAAAATATAATTTTTGACCCATTCATTGAAAAAGGTTCGCCATCCCTGGCCTATACCATAGCTAGTTTTGTATGTAGATGACTTTTATATCTACTGCAGTATGTGAGAAGTAAGTAAGCGAATCGTCCTGGTTGATCTTCATAGTTGGTATTTTACTAGTCGATAACTTGGTTTAGGATAAACCGACGTAACAGTGCTGAAACGTCGAGGTTTAGTCATCCCAAGTTTTGTGCAAGAGTATATTACCGTGGCAAGAACTGATTCAAGTATACAACGTTCAGTATTAAGGCTTACTCCGCCAACGTTTCATGAAACATTTAATTTGATGACGCCTACATCAACAGAGACTTCCTTTTATTGCCAACAAGTCAAATGGGACGTGTCGTTCAATTATGACTGTTGGTGAATCCATAGCACATCCTGAAGTACATTCATGCTAACTTTTCGATATTAAGAACAAAAAGACTGTGAAGGAATGCATCCGATCAAGAAACTTCGTACACTGAACGTGCGAACCAGCCATGAATGAGGCTAAATCGTTGTGTCTTGCGTAATCTCCTCGCAGCAGGCACTAATAACACGCTCGCATATGCACAACTGAACAATAAGGAAATGCGCATTTTATGAAAAATATGATAGATCTTTTATTTAGTGGTATGTTATAACATTGAGCTATCTCGACTCTTCCACGAGGTGAAATAAGAATTGGGCAAGGCACCAGAAAAATGCTTGCTTGCAAGCGTATTTCTCTTGGTCAAAAGAAAAACCATGTGCTCCTGCCTCGTAAGCGTAGGGAGGGATCAGTTAGCTAAACATAGAGACACAGGCGTTGCTTGCGGAGAAACTGAGACAATGCTAACTTCTCTCTGCGACCAGGCCCCTTATCCTTTTGTCTGTGTTCTCAAAATACTTCAAAATATTGAAGATTCATAAATTGCACCTTTCTTGCACACGGCCGTATTTTCCTCATTCCATACTTTTAAACAAATGGCCCATCGATAGTCGCTGCTGACAAACCACTATTTGAAACCCACATTTAAAAAATACCCATGACTCTTAAAAATAAAAACTGTACATGCTCCATTAATATTCATTTTTATAATCATTCTGGTCTCTCAATTTTTTTGACCAATTTAGTTCTTCCGCTGTTCCGAATACCAAATAAAATAAAGCTGCAAAAACATTGACACCGGCTCCAATCCAAAATACAGTTTGCCATGCAGAAATTGAGTTCTATGAAAAAATATTAATATTATGGTTTATTCAAATTTGATTCAGTTTCATGGATGCTACCAATAAACTGGAAGCGTAGGTATTTACTTCGTAGTCTGAATTGTAATCATAAACAGTCGATGAATATTTCGTCTCAAAATCCGACTGTTGAAGTTAAGGTGGATTATATTTACATATTAATTCTGGAGAAGGGAAGGCCGATAAAACGACCTAACCACCAGTTCATGTCGTATATGAGAATGACCAGTTATTTGTTCCCGATGACGTAATCGACCAGCAGTTACGAGAGCCCTCCTACGGCGCGAAGAGGTCAACTGTATTTGCCGGTTTGTTTGGATTCATTCCTTGTCACATTATTGTTAATGTGCATATATAGGAGCTTTTGTATTTCATATTATGCTAATCCAATTCGTCAGATAAACTAGCCCGGGGCACTCTTCATACCACATATATAAATATATTATATCATATATTTACTCATTTTTGCAATCTTATTACTTAAATCATATTGATAGTGCAAAAATATCTCATTTAACGTCACGTCTTAGTCAAATTAAACTCAAGGAAATGACTGTTGTTGATATTTATAATGAAACAGAACTTGTGAGGCGTGAATTTAATACAGACCAGTCGTATAGAATTTGTCACATTCATGCAAGTTCGGTCCAACTTCATAATTTATGTTAGTTGAAATAACTCACATTTTCGAATAGTACATATCCCGCTATTTGTGGCGCCAAAAACCCAGCACACATGCTGATTGTTCCTGATATACCGAACAGTATTCCACAGTGAGTCGGCGATAAGTCGAAAAAATTTGCTTCTGTTCCTGGAACTATAATTAAAACAATGAGCTCATAATCTCAGTTTATGAGAAAGTACACAAGGGATGAAAAACTTGGATGGGTGAATTTATTATTGTCTAATAGCACGTTTTGCAATCGATATGCCATTTTGCAAGTTAAAGATTCATGAACAAAAAGTTAGACGAAAATTAAAATAAAATATGTAGATAAACACTGAAAGTTTTTCAATAAACTTGTGATGTGTCCAGTGGCGTAGCATCCATCCCCGCGGTCGCGGGAGGGCCCACAGCGCAAAGGGGTCCAAGCGGTTAGAATTTAGAAATTTAAGCCGCAAACCAAAAGCTGCAGTGCAAAACAAGTAATGCACATCTTATAACGTTGATGTTAGTTCTGCTCAAATCGTTTCGTTACGTAACAATGCCAGGGAGTCGTCGATTTTCGGCGTCTTGTGGTTTGATCGCACCGGCAAAATTACGAAGGCTGTCAGAATGATGTCGAAAGCAAAACCTCTCAGTGGCGCACAGAAACGCAGAAAAAGGGCGAGAAGAGGAAAAACGTATGAAAAAAATTAAAGTAACCAAGATAAACAGCAAATTTTAGGTTACCATTGCCTTTTTATAGCGACATGTTATGCTTTTTGACGAAATAAAAAAAAAAACGTTGTTTTAGATTATGCCCGAGAGTTTTTAGGGTCATTTCCACGTAATATTTTTGCGGGGGGGGGGGGGTCTTTCTACGCCACTGGATATTATCATACAATACATCAACAAAAATGATATACCGTATATATATACTTACCGTGCATACCGAGAAGAGTTATTGATAGTAAAAAGTAAAATATTCCCAATGTTTTGTTACATCCTGCATACGATGCGAGTACGCTGAAACAACAAGGTCCTAACAACGCAATCATGATGTATATTTTTCTTATTTTAGTCAAGCTTATCACCCTGTTCTTTATTTTATCACAAAACAGTGTTGCGGGTATTATAATGGACAGCATTATAAGGTAGGGAAACCCAGACCATACACCGGCCTGAAAATAAGAATATAGTTTTTAAGTTTCGTACATAAGAGAAAAGTAGGATTAAATAATTTCGCGATGATAATATTTCATAAACGGGTATATTGAAACATTATGAGATTATAGTATATCTATAGATTTGAACAACATTTTGTCTGAACCAGTTTACTAGCCGAGTCAGTTTACTGCAAAAATATTATCAAGCTCAAGGTTACCGATGTCATGTCCATCTTCATTTTTGTGGCCATGTACGTTGGCAACAGAAGACCAGCTGAAGCAAACATCCAGTCGTATGCAAAATGAGAAATAATTGCTGCCCATACGGGTAGTGACGACAAAATAGCTAACCACGGAACACGACGCGTCACCTGAAATGCAGGCGTGAATAATAGCAACACGTAAATACATTACGGCATTTTACAATTTACACCAGAACTAAACTTTGACAATTTTAGATATAGATGCAAATAGTAATGTAAAATATTTACGAGATGCTGTTTTAAATCATAACGACATAATATTAAAATCGCCACATCCATTTTTTTTGGTTCAAGTGAAGACGCGTTACTTAGAAAACCCGCCAACCAGGACGCAAAATTAAATAGGTGATGCAGACCTACTAATATTGAATAGAATACTTTGCATCGTATGGAATATATCCGAGTCACTAAAAATATAATCAGTGTCCTTTCAGGGCGTGTCGGGAAGGTTACATTAAAAATCAATGTAAAAATGACGTGATAACTTACATTTTTCGAGACATCGATAACCGTGACATTTTCTTGTAAATACTCTTTTTCCTCCTTTGAAATTCTTGGGTGCCTCTTAGGGCTGTCATATATTATCAGAAACCACAATAAGGTCCACAACAGGGTAAAGCCGCCTGCAGGAATACATAAAAATCACTATACGGATTAAAAACAAAAAATACCCGCAAATATAAATAATGCTGAAAAGCTAGGAAGATATGTTCAATTATACCGTAAAATTCCGAACTTCATATTCAGAATTTATTTACTACCCCGTGAAATTGATAAAATTATGTGCAGGGCATGTCCTTATAGGGCACCAAGGGATAGGGGGCACCGCGAAAATTTCCATAAAAGAATCTTCAATGTTGCCGCCGTGATAATAGTGCATTTCGAGTTGCTCACAAACCTCAATAAAATCATGCAAATTCATCATCACGCGGCCCTCAATTAGTAGTTAATAAATGTTGCCTCGACACTTGACCCCATAACAATTCTTCCTGTACTTTATATTGCAAAAATGTTTATGATTATGTGGAAAATTTCCGTCCCTGGTTATCAGAATATTATATTAAGTATCATGTTTATGCAGTAGCTATTCCGCGGTTCCGTACTTATAGCATATTGTAGGTAATTTTACTGATTTTAGGTAGTAATTGGCCTAGTAGGTAGTAATAATAACACCAGTTGAAATTTGATCTGTTACCAAAATTTGAGTACCAAACGAAAGTAATGAAACGCTCAATTAGGCGACTTATTGTTTGATAAGATACTGTTAAAATAACAGTATATATGAAACGCATTTCCCTGTATGCACGAACATTCATCGTATTAAAATTGTACCTGTTATGTAGAAGACAGCTTCCCAGGACAAGTATTCGCATATAAGGCTGCATATTGGTAATGTTATAAAAGCACCAACAAAATATCCACACATTAAAATGGAAAAAACGAGATCTTTTTTGTTTCGAGGAATCCATACAGTGAAACTGGAAACTGTTGTGGGAATAACGACACCCTTGAAGAGATGATAAATATTTATTGATTACAATATAAATATTTCAATTACTTAATAGAATCAATAATCTAGCAACGATCGATTTCAAATGCATGCGTTGAGTAAAAATTATCTCGATTGAGCTTACCTTACCTGAAAAAAGCCTATCAGAACTCTGCAGACTATAAACAATTCGAACGCTCTGTATGCGGCAAATGGCAGCATAATTGTTAAAACAGACGCCAAGCCAACAGATATCCCTGTTACTATTGTGAAACCGACTCGCTTAGCAACCCAAGGTCCAATAACTCCCGATACTGCATAACCGTAATAATAGCATCCGAGAGCCAAACCTTGTTGAACAGAGTTCCATTGAAACGGTCCTTGCTGAAAAGGATCAATATACATTATTTGTGCATAAACCGGTATTAAAACTGACATTGGATCGATAAACCCGCACGTTATCATCATGAATTGCCATTTATAGTAAGATTTTCATCAAAATGCATATTTTCATTAAACCATTAAATGTGTTGAAAATTTTTGTAAATTGAATGAATTTTGCTAAAATGTCCAAAAAACAGTAAAAAAGATTTCCACCACTTGGTTTTGACCAAATGATTGATAACCCCCAAGCTAGCGAAAGACAACTTAAAGAAGTAATGAATTGGCATGTTGTTGTCATTTAATATTTGAAAAAGCAAATTTTACTTTGCCGCTTTCAAATCCGAGCGACTTGTGCGTATTGTACGTTCAGCGAAGGTTAGGCGACCCCGGAAAATCTTAAAGCGACCCCACTCAGGTCGCGGCCCACAGTTTGGAAATCACTGACTTACACTACTGAATGAATGCACGCGAACAGAATCTACATAAATAAAGTTCCCTTACCGACGATTTCTCTCTTTCTTCTGTCGCGTTTTCAATCGGACAGGCCAACTCTGATTCTACGGTTGTGTTGACCTCGCTATACGATGTCGTATTTACCATAGAAACTATGGCAATGCTTACATTGGTTCTTAGTAATAAAATATTGAACCACCCCATAAATATCATCCCCATTAATACATATCGAGTTGGTAGGTAGCATTCCATGTCACGTTTTACTATACAAAAAAAATCAATAAAAGCAATACAGTATTGTTAGCACTATGAAATCGACTATACCTCTCGACTTTTAACACGCCTTTCTCGAGTCAGAATTATGAGCTGGAGAGGCGCCTTACGCAGATGTGGGTACATGTCAACAATAACTTATACATTCAAAGATATATAATGTTCTATAATATTTATAAGAGATGCTGGAGCCTTCCAAGTATCCGGGGTATTGGGATTAGACATCATATATCCGCGTCTACCTTATTTTGGCTGAGATACTACCTCGTTGCAATTATCTTAGACCCAACAGCCCGATAATACAGAGTTAACATATCATATTATTCATTGATCTGTACCAGTATCCTACTTTGGCGCAACGATCGTTAGGAAGGCAAGTGCAAACACCCACTTGCACTGATTTCTGACTAAGCGACCATACCACGCTCCACTGCGCGACGTTTCCGACTACGTCAATAATTTCGAATGTTCTTTGTCGCTCTGAATTATATTCTATTGTTGACACACCGCCCGGATCAGCCGTTCACTGCGCATCAGCTATTGACACTCTGTCTAAATATGCTGACTGCGAGAAATATAAATAGGGTCCAAAGATATTTCAAATTTTTTATTTACTAAACTTCGTTTCAAAACAAGCAATTTAACAGGGCCGACGTATGGGAACCGGTGACCGTACATTTGAACCCAAGTACATTTGAACCCATGTGTATATCCGCAGGTTCAATCTATATGCGGGTGCTAAAACCCATGGGTTAGGTTAGTATGGGTTCAAATATCCGTAAATCAAAAAAATTTTGATTTACGGTGCAATAGTATGCAGATGCAATCGTCGTGGGTTCAAATGTACGTGGGTTCAAATGTAATGGAACCATGGGAACCAGTTAATATGAATATATTTGGTTTTTACTTATATTGGAAACGAAGTGAACGTTTTGCTTCGTTGTTGTTGTCAGTCACGTTGCTGTCGGGCGACTATTTGCTCCGAAAAAAAGATCTTTTCTCTGTAGCTAACGATTGATTTCAAGGGTCTCCACTCATCGTTCTGATACCAAACATCAAAGCACACTTGATAATATTTTGGAAATCATAGGGTTCATAGGCTATAGTAACGAATTCATCTGTATAAGCAAATGCGAAGGGGAAAAGCCGCGCGGTTGTTCAGAGGCGCTTTAGGTCTTTCCTTAGGACTATGCCCTAGGCAAGAGGTCACTGATACGGAAACTGGAATCTTTTTGTATTGGTATGGTGTGATTATGGCGAAAGCGAGATATTTAATCCGCAACACAAGCTTCATGGCCGGATTTAGACGATACGAGGCCTCTGGGATATTTCATTTGTTTGGTTTCAACAATGACGTCATATTCATTCGATACTTTGACTATGACGTCATAGTGAGTCGTTACAACTGTATGTGTTAAACACATTATGGCGTCATAAACAAATGTTTAAACTTACAAATTTAAAAACACTTCAAGAAACCCGAACTGTCATAAAACGCCATGGCACAAGGTAGCCGAAGTCATTACAACCATTTCTAGTTTCGAGATTACCTAATTATTGTAAGTAGGTTACTCTTAGACTTGTTTATGCTTAGATAAATCAGCACAGTATAGCTATATATCGATAATTTGTCGTATTTTTCCAAAAATAAAGGCAATATTAGGGTAAAAAACTGTTCAATTATTTTGAATTAGAGTGTTTCATTAGAGTTTTTCAAATTTAGAAAAATTCATTTATTCGACTGTATTTAATAACCTTGTAAACGTAAAATATTTGTGACAAAATTATTAACCCGATTGAAAAAAATTTAAATGAATATCAGTTTAAACAATATTTGAACTGTAAAATTCTTGAACAGGCCGTTGAAATCAGAAAACTGCTTAAAAATGAATAACAGTTCGAAATTGAATGTCGAGGATCCTTAAGCGTCAGGCCCCTAGGCACTGGCCAGCACAGTTAAAGGCCCATAGCTATGCTCATTATAGGGAGGACGGAATATGATGCGGATGTTCGCTAGAACGGAGTTTTTCAAATTTGAAACTGGATTTTCCGAATAATGCAGTTTTGCAAGAGTAGAAATTTACGATAAAAGACTTCTCCGAGAATATAGTTGTGAACTTGTGAGAACTAAAATTGAGTTTTTCTGTAGGAACTGTTTTTTACTTAATTGAGAAACATTGAAACTGACCTTTTTAAATCGACGAAAGTTTCTTACTTACATGGAGTATTACTATCTCCTATCAGAATTAAACAATATTTACAAATATGATTGGTTTGAATCTAGCTTTATGATTGCAAAATCCATATCGTTAAGCTGCACTCGTTTTTTATAAGTTCAACTTTTTTAATTTAAACCTTCTGTTATATATAATATGATTTTACCTCTTGCACTAGTTCTCATGGCGTCATCCATACACTGTAAACTGCAAAATTTGTCATCAAAATTTCTATGCTGTAAGTTTTTTGTATTTTGTAAGCTTTTGCATTACGGAATTCCGATCCTCTCAGCTGTTTCCCTCGTGCCCTCCGCTACCTTTTGTTTCGTGTCAACATCAACACCATCTGTTGGCGCCTCTTTGTCACATACATATTGCTGTATATCTTAATTCACTGGTTAATTAGCATTATTATATATTTATGGGCCATGCCCATGAGTATATGAAAGATAGGTCAATGAAATTCATAACACATTCACAAAGATCGAAGGCAACAACGGAAGGTTTTAGCGGTATGTCGAAGCATTCTAAATAATTTCCTCATACCGTAAAAATAATTGCGGTATCGAACAGATGGTTGTATACCTGTATCCACATTGAATTCAATAGACAATCCACTCTACACTATCTGTTATACGTCGGGCTGTAGTTTGTATTTCGCATTCCAGTTTCATATTTTAGAGAACTTAATAACGGTTCACATGGATTAAACATAGGGTTACCATGTTTTTGTGTGCTCAAAGCGGGACGCCTCCAAAGACCATAGCTGGGGTTTTTTCAACTTTAAATTTACCGATTTTAAATTAGGGGCCTACATTTAAAACCATCCCAACTGTCTTCATTGGCCATATTTTCATCGAGAGTTCATGAGCTATCTGTCTAAATATCGGTTTTCAGTTCGAGAGAAAGGAATTTACGTCAACGCCTCGCCTCTTTACGTCAACGCCTCGCCTCTTTACTTTTATTTTACTGAAAGATGCATTTGCGTTATTATATCTTTAGTACTATCAGCACGGCTTATTTTTTTGTTTCCAGACATTTCGCGACTAGAAGAGGATATTATGACGCAGGATTTTCTGGTGCCATGACGTTTTATTAATGCCGGGAGTTTCTTAAAGTGTTCCTCAACTCACTATCCGATCTACTTAGGTGATTAGCGTGTTAGTATCTCGACTGTAGTTTAATCATAGTTAACTTAATATAGTTCGCTCACACTTTTTTTTATGTTACATAGTTCTCTCGTTACGCTTGAGTGATGCGTCATGGTATTCTCTCAACGCGATATTGTGGCGCGTGTAGTCCTCATCTATCTGGCTGTAGCCGATGTCTAATGGGGACATCGCTAGTTAAAGAGACGTCGTTTCAGCGTATAATGATTTTTCTGTCGCGTAAAATATTCAATTCATGACAACTACGAGATTGTAAAATGTCTTTATATAATAATTTAATTGTGTCCAACGTAAGTCTCGCTTGCTTTTTTTACGTCAAAATTAAAACATTACTTCTCTGAAATGCCACGGCGCTCTGTGGACATAAAAATATAAGATAAACTGCCTGATGTATTTAATTTTATTACGTAATTTTGGTATCTTGCAGACTCGTTATCGCCATTAGAAAAATCTCAATAACTGATATAGAATGAGTAAAATTTTATTTCGTACAATGATAATACATATAAAGTATATCGTTAAATCAAAAATACATATTCATTGCCGCGATTACGCCACTTTTACAACAAATAATGGTAATGGTAAACTGCCCGATTATATAAGGCTTCGATCCTTATTTTACTATTTTGCGAATTCGACAAATTTTAAAGATACTTGTAACATCGCAATGCTGCCTCTCCGAATATTTTTAAAATAAAAACATTCAAAAAATTCATGAATCTGTTGTAAAATCTCAGAGTAAGATTCATTGTAGCACAATAAAAATTGATGGAATATACATTAGATTAGATTGATTCTCTTATATATCATCATAATTCACAACCCGGGGAAAATTGTCCCGTTTCAAACCTTGTATAATATTAAAACGAAAATTTTCGACGGAAATTTAAAGTTATGGGTAATAGGGCAAATCTCGCCCACAATTAACAGTGTTTCGATTTTAGTGGCGATATGTTTCTAAACGCCGACCAGACATAATGTGTGCAAAAGGCGCACGGAATTTTGCGGTTTTCAATGCCTAAAACAGCGTTTTTTAAACTGTCGCAGGCCTCAAACTTATATTGTTTACGGTTTTATTTTCATTTTTTTATATTGCAGTTTTTCTATTTGCGTTGTCTTTAGAAACTCGCCGCCGATAATCAAACTATAACCGGATTCACAATTCCGTGTCAGTACCAAAATAAAAGAATTATCATCGTTATTGTGGAAAATTTGCGATTTAGAGAAAATAAAACCAACATAAAAGTGTTCACGGCCTCTAATAATAACAACCGGCGATTATAGCAAAATGTCATTCGACGCGTTATTGGCGACTTTTTCAGATTTCAAATGCATTTCTGTTACCAATTTTTAATTTCCAGCAAAATAAATGTGACAAAACGCATTGTTTTGCGTTATAACTTCGTATTTTCGGAAACCAGGTGTAGTGAAAAGTAAAATTAGATCTCTAAATTAATCGCAAATAATGTTTTATCATCTAACGTCGGGTACTCATCATTTTCCGGGAAAACTCGAAAAGTCATTTAATTTAAAATAAAAAATGTAAGATGGCAGTCGGCACCAAAAATTAAATGTTGCAATAACGCCGTCTTCGCGTTCTGAATATTCGAGCTGAGATTACGGTGTTTAATGTCTACCGCAAAAGCTTTTGCAGGCTCTTTGGGGGAAAACTAAGAGTAATCACACGAGACCGATTGCGTCGCGAGAGAATCCTCGATTAATAAATTGTAAATCCGAAATACAAAAATTGACACACGGCGCCGGAGAGGTGGAAACCGTGTTCTGAGGATTCGAATACTCCAGATTCGGCAACCTATATCGTCCATCCCTACCTGTGAGTATCTGAACTTCTACTTTTGTGCTATAATCCTGGTATAAACCTTTAGTTACTATCCAATAAATGCAATCGAAGAACAGCAGAATTACTCTGCCCCTACCCCACTTTGATAACCTATTGTACCGACGCAGAGATGACTGGCAGATGCCACGACTCCCTACTTTATTATATTGCCTCAGTATATCTTTTCATTTATTTCAACCAACAAAACCATTTCAAATACGCAAATTAATTCAAACGGAAATCCTCTACCGTAAGCTTCAAAATATAGCAAACTGATGACGTAGTAACGCATCACTCTTGCGTAGTGAACCGGCCGTGAGCGAACTATATTCAGTAAACTATGGTTTAATCTTCGTCTTCACCATAATAGATTGTTTATGACACCGTAATAGATTGTTTATGCCATCATTGTTGAAGAGAGGTCTCACGAATAGCATAGCCTGCGGGCAGGTGCCCAGGGTTGCCATATTGGCTTTTTGAACGCCAAATTTGCCATTTTTCAAACTCGTTTGGCGTCAGCTTTTCCGTTTGGCTTTTTTTTTTTGGCTTTTTTTGAGTCTATTCTAGTGTATTTTATTAAAATTCTATGCAATACAATATTTATTGTGTAACAATTCCCTAGTACCGGTACTTAGCTACTTAACATTTGAATAAACTATCTATCTATTTTCCCCGAGCATCGCTTGTTTATTGGACACGTCAGTGGACATAACGATCGTTCTGCATTTTATGCTGGCACTTTTCTTCTACTTGTTGTTCTTTGACACGTTTTAAAACAATCGCTTTTCTCTCTGATTACTGGACCAATGGACATTTTCCCGAGCATCGACTTCCTTGTTTACTACTTGACATTGGCCAATCAGCAAGATGCAAAAAGTAACGTAACAATGCTCTCTTTTCGCATCTGCTTAGACACCTTTCTCACTCAGACAAATTTTCAAGCGTGGTCGTAAACATTACCTCGTTTTCGCGTTTTTGAACTCTATTCGTTAGTTTTCTGTTGTGATTCGGAAACTTAAATATAAATCAGATAATTCAAAGATCACTCGGTCTTCCTAGGAGTTTTATTTCAATTGCAGTAATAAAAAATTAGTGTAGAAATAGCTGTGATAGACTAGGCTAATATTCTTTACCTTTTAAAAAACAGATTGTTGTATGGCTGTATGCGATGAATCATAATGATGATTTGAAACACATACCCCATTTTATAGGCGCCAACTCTCAAAAGCATTCTGGCGCTGCCATTCAATTAATCCTTTTATTTTTAAACGCTTCATCCTGCTGAAGAGGAAATCGCCATGAAAGCAACCGAAAATACTTTCAATGGGAAAAGTCATTTGTGTGGCTCACTAAATGAACTGGTGGCTCTACATTAGCATCAGTTTTGTGCCAGGGGCTTAAAATCTGACAAATCATGGGGCTTTTGTACTTAGTAAAATTGTTGGCTTTTTCTGGCTTTTTTTAAGTATTGATTTGGCTATTTTTGATCGCTGGGATCTGGCAACCCTGCATGTGCCTCTGATTGTCTAAATTCGACCATGAATCCCAGTATTACCCGTTGGTAACCATAAATCGTCGCGTACTTCCAAGTGTCATCGGTGATACATCTTGGGTTCCGACAGACCTGTTTTGCAACGTTTAGTATCATCAAAGTTAAACTTCGCCATGCAGCCACAACTAAACCGCGACTAGAAAGGTTATTGCATGCACTAGTGCGCATATGAACTATGAGTTTCACAACGTAATATTACGCGTAAAGATTAGAAAAATCTATGAATGTCCAAATTTACTGAGGGAATACCAAAGCATCCTTGTGTGACACGCATACGTATTCATTTGCGCAAAGGCATATAGAGCAAGACAATGTAGTAGTTAGTCTTGAGTAGCCCCAAGCCCGAGGTTGTCCGAAACGAATCGAATATCAAAGTATCCGAATACCTTTTCGGCTGATTTTCGAATAATTCCGAATGATAGCTACATTTCGCCTTAAACACGGTGTTTCGTTTTCGCGGGAATCTTCAAACGAGTTGCGCTTTGCCACGTATTGTAATGACGATGAAATAGTATGGGCACTTTAATTGTTTATATTCTGTGAGAGCGTGCGTTGCATATTGTTGCGACACCTTTGCACGTACGCGTGGTGAACATTGCCGCTATTCCCCTACAAGACTTCTAATTCACACACTCATTCCCATTACGTCGAAAAATTGAAAATTAATAAAAGCCGTAATTGTTACGATACTCAATAAATTGTCGCAAGTTTAAAAAAAACCAATCGATTTATTAGGAAAATTAATTCATACTTTTTGGCAAATATTTTGACAATGATGGTTAAAAGCTTCGACTTTTTACTGGGATGATTTTCTGTTGCGCAAAATATTCAAATACATGACCAATACCAAATATTAAAAATTATTATGCCCTTTTAATTTAATTTTGTTCAACGTATCTCATGGTTGCGTCCACAATCTGTGGAAAATAAAATGTGTGGTAAACTACACAATTTTATTAATTTCTGATTCGTATTTACAAAATATGTGTGTGTGATAAACTGCCCGATATTAATTTTTGATTCGTATTTACTAAATAATAAAAGTATTAATATTCTAAAATAATATGGGAATTTGCGGACACAAAATGTGTGGTAAACTGCACGATTTACCAACATTTGAGTTACGTGAATTAAATTAATACGGCATGGTCTTTTAAATAGTGGTATCGGTCATGGATTTGAATATTATGCGCAGCACAAAATCATTCTAGTAAAAAGTCCATACTTTTAAATTATTTGCCGAAAAGCGGGATAAGGTACAAATTATTTTTCCGACTTGTGACAATTTTTTCGCGAGTACGAAAATACGAATCAAAAATTAGTTATATTCGGCACAATACCACGGCAATCTGAGGACATAAATTGTGTGGTAAACTGCGCGATTATCATTAATTTTTTATTCCTATTTTCTTATTTATAAAATACAACGCCAATCTGTGGGATTAAAATGTGTGGTAAATTGCCCGAATATAATTTAATTGCTGATTTGTATTTTCGTATCTACTAAAAATGAAAAGCAATAGCCTACCCCTCTGAAATATCACGGCAATCTGCGGACATAAAATGTCTGGTAAATAGCCAGGTTGTAGATAACAGATATTCCATTGTTTATTGTATGCAAATTCCCTCATACACTATAGATAAACTTCTATTACTTGATTTTATTTTCGAATGTATTCGAAATAGTGAACAATTCGGTATTGGCCACCCCGGAGTCCTCAGCTGATAAGTACAGAGGGAAACTAGGAATTTATTGATTCGTATCCCTCCGTTTAAGTGCGTAATGAAATCGTAATCAAACGAGAGAACATTCCCAAGTCTATGGACGTGAAGGTCAACTGACTACCTCAGGGAGTTCAAATTTTTTTTTATCTTTACCTTGACCCTTCCTCTATTGTCCTTGCGACGCAATATTTACTCAGTGAGGAATTTATTTGGACCATGTTACGCCAAATTTGGCTAGCTAGACATTTACATTATTACTTAACATTTCGTACTTCGAAATTGGACCGAGAAAATAGATCAATGCTCAAATGTATACCAATCGAATAGCGATTAGGAGCATATAACCATTCCTGCATCGAACACGAAAGAAGGTCATGCATTAGGTGAGGGGTATGCAGACTGCGGCCCGCGGGCCAAATGGGCTTTCAGTTTAATCAATCTGGAACTTGCGAGCAATTTCAATCTCCTTGCGCCGCGAAGCCTATACTATGATCCGAGTGCCACTGTCATATCAGTGAAACTAGCTAGCAAGATTCTGTTGTAAAATACAAATGTTATAAAAGCTTGTTTCCTTCTCACTGAATTCGTTTAAAGTCGGTGTGACAATAAATTGAAAGAGCAGTTTCCTAAGAAATTTTTGCGTTTTAACTCAACATTTCTTCCAGAACCTCGAACAATGCCGTAAGATCAACAACAAAATAAAACAACTTTTTGTGCATCTACAGTAGAAACTCTATCTACGAAAGGCTATGCATACGAAAAATCCAAGTTACGAGAATTCTTTTTTGCTAATGAACCGGGTTAACTTTTAAAAGTGTTTGATCTTTAGTCATTGATTTTTTTTTTACAATTCGTTTCGTGTAGAATCTTACAATCTTGTTTGTTTTTTTAATTATGGCAACGTGTTCATTGATAATTTTGCCTTCTTTGTTGCGTAAGTTAATTGATCAATATCTCTACTTATTATTCTTTTGCGACTGAATGAGATGTTTCAAAGGATATGAAAAAGGAGAAATGGATTTTGAAGATAATGCTTCACATCAATTTTCCCAAAAGGAGTTGAATGATTTAGTTCGCGACCTTAGATTGCCAAAGGGCTCTGCCAAACTGTTGGCTTCCAGATCGAAGGAGAAAAATCTCCTTTCTGACAGTACTTACATCAGCATCTTCTGCAACAGGCATAAGGAATACCTCCATTTTTTCTCGGAAGAAAAGGATTTATTTACTGTGCCGATCCGATATTGTGCAGCTTTTGCTCAAGCTTAGAATGCCACATCGCGGTGGAAGGAACTGGTGCATTGCAAAGAATGGAGCGCCATCAATAACCTTCTGGTTGAATACTCTTCCCTCCATTGCTCATTAAGCTCGGCTTGATCAAGCAGTTCACTAAGGCTCTCGACACGACACGTTGTGGGGACTGCTTCACTTACATGTGCCAGGCTTTCAACCTCAAATCAGAGCATGACACTTATGTGTAATCTAAATATGGCTCTAATATGATTGGTCAGTAAGAGTTGATATTCTTTATGTATACGTCTTATCGTGGAAGTACGTCAAAACAAAAGCAATAAGACATTTTTCATCGTTTTCAAGCATGATATATGCTTGTCCGAGCGTATGTGACCCCGGTTGCGCTTTAATTTTCTTTAGCATATTTTAAATTCTACGAATTTTATATCTGTAAGTATTTGAAAGCTAAAAAATATACAATGAATCCGTTATTACTTGAAGAAATTTGAGCGAGTTCACAATCGTTTTCGGTGCGTAAACAAGCTTGTAATCGTTACCCGCACAGAAATAAACAAACAAGGATTGCGCTCGCTCGAAACAGCTCGCGAAAACATTCGCCCTTCGTATCTTGAATATTTTGCGTTGCGTTTCACTCCAGACGGCCACTCTTATCTCCATTGGAAGATGACGTAATTCGCTTTTTCTGGAGTATAGGATGTCGGGTCCATCTGACTTGTGTTTATCACTCCGATTTGAAATACAAAATTTTTTTTTAAAATTTTTTTTTCATTTTTCATTACTTTTCTTCAATAATGTTCACCATTCAGTTCTTATTAATTGATGTTTCCATCTCGTAATCAATATATATTGTTGAAAATTTTTTTTTTCCTCTTCTTAGTATGTGTGCTGACAAAATGACGTCATAATGACGTCAATTTTATCAATCGGGCTGATTTTTCGAAACGCACAAACTTGACCTGATGGAAAGAAACGGATGTTTTTTTCGGATTCAGCAGCAACATTCAAAAAGTAAAAAATTGTTGGCCAGTGTAATAGTATATAGCAGGGATGGCGAACCTTTTTCAATGAATGGGTCAAAAATTATATTTTTATCGCGGAACAGAAGAGAGTGGGTCACAGACATTTGATCAATGTTTGTATCTATAAGAAACTTCTGAAACAAATCCTATAAGCTTCTGCTTCTGTTGGTGTTGGCGTAGTTTTGGGCTTTACTTATGCAGCACTTCTATCAGGGACTTTTCATGGCACTCGATTTTATGAACTTAAAGTACGAAAACACGCATATGAATTCCCAAAAATGTTTAGGATAATGCGGCAAATTATTTTACGGTTCCAAAAAATTTGGAGGGAATTCCACTCTGATAGTGTTATATTTTTCGATCAGCTTTCAACCACATTAAGTCACTTTTACACTGCCCCATTGTTGTTTCAGATTTCTAGGTTTTTATTTCAAGTCTGAAAGATTTTGTTCTCTTAACGGCATCGTATGCAAGAAACTAATAAGATACAAAGTAGCATCTAGTTCTCGCATAACCCCTAAAACAGTCTGTAGATGCACTTCCTAAAGCAGCGTTTCCCAACCTTTTTTGGTCGCGGACTATTTTCTCACCGGCGAAAACCTTTGCGGACTCAACGTGCGTTTATTGCATACGTACTCTGTGTGAAGAAGTAATAAAACCAAACATAACAGAATTTTAACGAATTTCAAAATCGGAAATTCGCTGCAATTTCGCGTTTGTTAAAAGAGTCGACTTTTTAGCGTATAAATGGCCTTTTCTGTCGCACAATATTCAATCCATGGCAACAACGAGAATTTAAAACGTCTTTCTATTTTAATTTAATTGTGTTCGTAGTCACTCGCGGTTGCGTCGACCTATGACAAAATGAAAGCATTTCTTCTTCAAAATGCCACGGCAAGGTAGCACCCGAATTTGCTACGTCTTAAAACGCGTTTTTAATCGGCCGCGGGTCATCATAAAACAGAACCTAAGATGTACTCCGTTCTTCTATTTTTAGTATTTTGTATTGCGCTTTTGAATTTAGGTCGCCACCATTGACAACTACGAAGAAAAAAATTATTTCTCGTTGTTCGAGCTCGCGAGAAACACCACTTAGGTATCTATCCACGAGTGTGCCGACTCGTGTTTTCGTCGGATATTCGCAAGTGAGTTGTGAAATCCAATCGTTGATTAAGCGACGCGCAAGTGACCTGTTGCGTCACCTGTTACCAAATTTTCGAATAGTAAATTGCTATTCTAATAGTTGAATATTCGAATATATGCCCAGCCCTACTCAGTAACCAGTAATTATTGACTCGATTAATGTTATGTGAATAAACTTGATTTTTATGTCTTATGTAAATTCTAACGTAACTTGACTGATGGTTAAATTTCACAAAAATGTTGCGGCCCTTAGTGAATTTCTGACTCGTTGCGGACTCATTCAAACGCTCCGCGGACTCATTTGAGACCGCGGACTCGGGTTGGGAAACACTGTGACCTAAAGAGACAAGACGCAGCGACGAATGAACATGTCGGCTGCATTGTTATGTCATAAACGATGTCAGAGTCAATAGCTGAATAACGGTACACAGCGGTGCAGACATGCGTCCAAGATTAATGGTTTTGAAAATTATCATACCGACCCGAATAATCACCAATTTGAATATGAGCGATCGCAGCCCTGACTGCGCAACTGACGGTACATTATAAAATTGATTGTTAGATTAACTTAAGGCCGGTTTTATCAATTTTTATCACTGATATGTTAGCATTTATTTTATTTTATTCGTGCCTTGGCGGGTCACGAATGAATCGCGGTGGGTCACTTTGTGACCCGCGGGTCAGTGGTTCGCCATCCCTGGTATATAGCCTGATTTATTAGTAAATAATTTAGTTTTAATTACATTCTAAAAATGTCTAGTTATCCTAAGCGTCCAGACTTTACGCACACCCTGTACATATGCGCCGTGCCATCTGCGTTATGGACTATATCTATAAATACTAAAGTTTTGCTTGAATATTTTATGATATCATGTCTATTGTCTGGTCTCCGTTGTAATGTTCATGTATTATTCAGATACCATTACATTTTGGAACAATAGACATAAATCTTCCCGTACTGAAATTGGTTGGTCCATTAATTTATGAAAAACACACTTCGCGGGTGGAAATGTTTGTGGGCGCAAAAGTATACAGGCGCCGTCCTGGCTGCAAAGATAATGAAACCATCTGGTCCATCCGATGATAAATTTGCTCATTGATACATTTGGTACCATAGAAATAGTACAGTATAAAGCATTTTGGTGAAGAAATACGGATTTATATTCTTCAGTACGCCAAATGTTTGGTATGAAGCCAGATGCCAACATTCGATTAATATCAGTCGTTTCACCTTCGTTTATTTGATTATCGCAGTCTTGTGCGTTTGCTCACCTTAGAAACAAGTGATACCGCGGTATTTCACATTGAACTCAACTGATTCGCTTCTAATTTTAATGCCGTTCAGTTTCTTTAAATTCGTGACTTTTGAGGAACGCTGAGGCCTTGTTTAGCCACTCATAGATGATACAAGGTCACGAAAAATGTTTGAAGAACAAAACGCTTTCCGTTTTTGTACAGTTAACATCTTTATGAACATGACTTATTTCTGTGAATGATTATTTAAATCATTTCAAAAACTCGACCCGATGAACAGAAATACGCGAGCTGATTTTTTTTAATCTTTTCTGGGTGTTTGTATGCCGTCTCGCGAACACATATTTCGACCCCTAAGGTAACGGCTCCACGAACGAACAATAGATAGTAACTATCATAATAGAATCAATCATTCAAACACCTGTCTCCGCCACATTACTCGCAATAGGTGCACATGCAAAACGACAGCCGATTGATTTACGTAAAAAAAGCTTGAATATCGTGTTTTACAAGTGGGTTATTGGGTAAGAGTGTAAGCGTATAAACAATAAAACTGAAAAATAAAAGCCAATGGGTCCAACACGACACCGTGCTCGAAGCCCAAAGCAACAAACTCTTCGAAGCAGCACTGAATATGGTGACATGGTCGCGATGAGACTGACATGTAAATAGCAACTAGAGAAGTAAAAAATCTGAAGATCACTTGTTCTTCACTAGAAGTTTCAAATAAGTTCATTCCATATGTACACGGTACAAATTTTTGGATATAGCAACAGTTCTTCTAAACTTTCTCTTCATATATACATGAAGTCTCCTCAGAATCTTCCGAAGACTTTTCCCTCGTGAATCTTGATGTTGTTGCTCTTTCCCAGCGCTATGGTAACAAAATAAGAACTTAAACTATAATTATAACGCAAAAATGGAATTTAGTCTGATAAGCAGTATTACAGGTTAAACAGAAATAGGTGATAACCGAAATCTAACACTAAGTGGACTGAATTATCCAATTTGGAGACTACAGTGTGCGAAAGATGAAAAAATAAGAAGACCTTTTGAATATACAAAGCTCCAATGTAGAACACAACGACGTCCATAACATCCTCCATAAGGAAATACGGAATACGCAACAACCGCAAGGGTTTAATGAACAACTATATTTATATTAAGGTAATGCTGTAATAATGCTTCAACCCTGGTGGTAAAATGTTAAATCAAGACAAAGCAGCGGGATCGAGAAGCCCCAGAGAAATAGGAAGAGTGAAATATATGGCACAGTACGATTCCCGTGATTGACGTGATTGCGTCCCCTTCTAAAAGTGTGTACCATAACGCTTTAATCTAATGACTAGTAATTTCCCTATATTTAAGAATCCCAAAGCTCATAAGACACTATCAAAACTATAAAAGCAATTACACCTGTTTCATAGTTCCTTTCCCATCCAATAACTCTTTCATGGCAACCAGCGGTATTCCAATCATGACAGATATGGTCATCATCCATCCGACAACATTCGCCCACAACGGATATTCGTAGTCTCCGAGTTTGAGAGGGCCGTATCTGGCACAACATGCGACGAAGATTGTCTGAATAAAAAAGGAATAATTTCACTATTACTAATTTTTTTGTTTATCATTGTAAATTCTAAGAAGTCCATCTAATTCAGAAATATATTATATTAACCAATAAGCGTCTATATATAGAGATATTTAAGCTATTGATCTCGTTTGCTACTAGTTCGGAATATGGGTTCGCATGCAAAGTCATCTATACTGAAAAAGGGCTGATAAATAGTCCCAAACACATTTTGAACGGCCTCATTCGTAGAGGACTATTGTGTGACTAACAGGGCTGGGAATTACACTTTAACCGCACGTGATAATTTATAGTGATAATTTATAATTTATATCTTGTTACGTCACAATGGTTACAAAGCAATTTCGCGTGATCTTCTCCCGATAACCCGTATAATTATTCACGAATCTAGATAGTTTCGTGATCACTCTGCTGTACGAGATATGCAGCGTGCTCCGGACATATGGAAGTATTTCGGTACAACCCGATTCCGTTATTAAATGTTATTTTTGTGACAAATTTTCAGGGCTCGGTGTGCAAATTCTACTTTGAGATATCATAAAGAAAAACAGCATCAACTGCGCGCTTGTTGGATGACATTGAATATACGATTTTGCAATAACATTTTGAACAATATATTTTTACCGAAACTGATTCTCGATTTATCATTGTCAAATTTTCATAATCAGCAATCTTGACAATTCAATTATTTTTCACATTTAATGGGTTCTTGCCGATACAGTCAGTGAGGTGCTCCCGAAGTATGTGAACCAAGATGGCGGACATCGGAACGTAACATGGGTAACAGGTTAGGGTTAGGCGATAATTTTTTCCAATTTTCCTTATTTTAGCCCTATTATCAGTTCGAAGACTAGCCAAGAGCCTCCCGTAGTATTTATACCTAAAATTATGGCCTAACCCTAACCTAGTGCACATATTACATTCCGATGTCCGCCGTTCCGAGATGAATTTGCGATGACGTAATCGTTTTTGAAGAAATTGTGCATTATAAAGATGATTTGTACCTGAGATGCCAGTTAACGGTTAAAATATCGTAACTGTTAACCATCTAAAATTGGTTAACCGATTAACCATTCCCAGCCCTAGTGACTAATGTATCATCAAATATTAATTTCCTATCGTGCTTAGCTATTTTATCAAATAATTGGAGATTGAAAGTCGGCCTAAAATCCGATGAACCGGTCAACCGTTACCATTCTTACAAAATATATAATTGACCATACCAGAGTTATGGCAGGGATGACGTAGAGGTAGCAATATTTGAAAAATGAACTAGGATAGTATCCGATCATTGACTTGACATTATCAAAGAATCTGTCCACGCCATAAATCCACGCCAGTGCCACAGCTTCACAAAAAGCTGCGAAAAGGATGCAGATGCCACTGGATCCATACATGTTCACCAGTTCGAACACGTAAATTCCACCCTGAAAAAGTAATAAAGATAATCTTATATACACCAATTGTTAAATAATGAACTACAATAGTTTATTTGCTCATTATTTGATGTTACAACTCTTTATCCAAACAAAGATTTGAACAAACAATTGCTGATACACGGCCAGCTACAGTTTCATTAAAAATCGAAATTTTACGGTTTGGTAAATAAGGTTAAATTTATTACGTAGTGAATATGACGACCTTGTAGTTCAAACACGTTTATCACCATGATCATGTTTTATGTATTCACCACTCCATCTTCGGCGCCAGGATGTGTAACGCTGTATTTCCGTTTCAAAATATGATGTCTAATAGCTCTACGTATTATTCATACGACTTTAGCATGGCCGATGAAAGATTGTTGTTTTTATTGAAACCGTTATGATAATTTCGTAAACATGAAATGCTCAAGACGACAATAAATAAACCTCATGACTCAATCGCTGATTTCAGCTTGTTCATTATTTTTGTAATATTGGGAATAACAACGATATTTCCCAATGTTGTCATAATAAACATACCAGTACAACCTCATACATACATACATGCCTTGATACATTACTGTATATTCCACAATTTTTTATATTGAAGACATAATTTCAAAATAACATTCGAAATATGATTCTCTATTTATCCTGACGGGTTGGTTACTGATGAAACGCGTTTCCCATTGTGTTTGAACGCTCAGCAAACTGTCTGATTGATGGGTTTTATATTTTCAGTAATTTATGTCTGGAGGACCCATTTCAATAAAAAAGTCACACACAATTACATATTGTTCAATTATCCCAGATTCGGTTTGAAAAAACATTCGATTCGATTCCGAAACCATCAGGTATTCAAAAATTCCCAGACAAAGTAACACAAATTAAAATTGTATCATTCTTACATCAAAAAGCATCGGTATACCCAGGAAAAGTGGGAACAAACTGACGACAACTCTACCGAATTGCGGACCGTAGCGTTCAATCCATTGAGGTCTGAAATCTTCAAGAAGAGCTGCACATCCTTCGATACTTCCAAACTGTAAAAATAAGAATAGGTGTTACAACGCCATCTGAGCGGCAAATGAAAAAAGTTACTTACCGTATATAATATATTACTAGTTAGTATAGTTATTATAGATAATTATTATTTCTACTGTATGATAATATTAACATGGCTCCGTGAAATAATGATTAATTAAAGGGCCTATCTCGTAGACGTAGGAGTTTGTCATTCCAGGATGTCCGTTAAAATAAGATCGGGAGTTCATCAACCGTATATCTCTTATTCATAATATTATAATAACTGCTGTATCAGTGTATTTGTGTTGCCGAGGTTGGTGTTTCCATAAAAACAAAACAATCATCAATTTTGATGAAATGTGATATCGTTTTCAGCACAATCATGCTAAATTTGTAACACACATATGCACTGATACTGCAAGATATAATGAAAATAACCTGGATCCTTGTAGGCAATATTCCCAAAATATTCGATGTTCACACAGTTCAGAGTATTCGTACTTAAAATGAATTGTAGTGAGTATCAAACTACATTATGGAACTGGGCATCGCTACTGGACATCGGAATGTTGAACTGACCACCACCGATTGATTGATGACGAATTAAATCGTTCTCGAATGGACAATGGTCAAATGCACGAAGAATTAGTTTAATTCTCGGACTTCTGCCACAACTAAATGCCACAGTCAGAAAGTTTGGTTTAAAAAAAATGCATGATGGGTGGGAATCGATGACAAATTTTGGCCTCGTTTTTCTGTGCCAAAAATATTAAATGAGCATGATAGCGGTACAATTTGCAGTGGTATGATTTCGAAACCCAAATGACTCATCTATGTATATATATATGAGAAGGTGAGCCGCTTCGACCTAACGTTCAGGAAGAGCTAATACCAATAAAACCTTGTAGAACACTCCGAGCCCATGGCTCATTAGGATTAGCATTATTTATCTCACTATATATGGTAAAAAATGTAAAATTGGCAAAAAAAAATGGAGAATGCCGGGGGATTTGGACAAAACCAGGAAACAAGTTGGACTAACAAGCACAGCACAGCAGTAACTTTATTGTCTTGATATAAGCAATTCATGAAAGTCTCGCACGTGCAAGGGTGGGCAAAAATACTTACCAAGTGAGGATTGCAATATCGAATCGAATAAATTTAACGAATTTGGAACGTCCCTAATTTTCTTGAAAGTGACATTTCGGGGCCCGACCAATAAAAAGAGGAATAAAAAGGAAAACTACTCCATGCAAAGAAAAACCAGAACTTGACACAGATCATGCTCTTCTTTGAATCGGAAAATTAAAACTCATGTCGGCTTCCGCCAGGAAGGTTGCAAGATTCTTACCGCGCTATCAATCGCAAAGAAAAGCAGTGTTATGAAGAAGATGACCGACCACAGTTGTGGAAGCGGTAACAGCGTTAATCCTGCCGGGAAAACCTCGAACACAAGTCCCGGGCCTTTGAACAAAAAAAGGGTTTTTGCCTAAACTTAAATCCTAAACAAAAATAAATTCTATACTATGCCTCATATATTTACGCAAAACAAATAGTACAAAAATCTAACCCTAAATCAACACAATATATATTCAGCCCGAACAGAAACATACTAGAGGGAAAGATCTTGCAATAACTCTAAAACAGCGGACCAGAAGTAATTTACCTGTACTGCATATTACAAACAACTTTCCTATATTACCATCGTCTTTATCTTATCAAAACTACGTCTTTCTCTAACGTTATTATTCTATCATGCTGTTCTATTGCTTCCCTAATAGCCTACATATAACGTAATTTATACAAGCCTATTTTATAACAAACGAGTTCTCACCTCCTTCGGCGACGTCTGATATGTTCTTGTTTTGTTCGAAAGCCATGTGACCGACAAAACAAAATATGATGAATCCAACGAATACAGAAGTCCCGCAACAAGCACTAACGCACATATACGCATGTCTAAACAAATAAAACGATACTTGTAAAAAATTTTGATAACCAAGATACAACTAATAGATGATATCAATGTCATCATCAGATTTGCAGTACATGCTCCGTGTTGGATTGAGTGATGATATAGCGGGATTGGTAAAGTCGTTCTTCATCCTAACAATTCTGGTATCGACTTTTTGGATACTAATTTCACATGAGTAATTCTCCAGAATAAGTGGTAAATTACAATCAAACCCAAGATTAATGTGAGTAAACGGACAATCATGTAAGTGTGTCTAATGTGTAGTAAATTGTGAGTCCTGACATAATCAAAAATTTCACACTTGCCACGCATGTATGAATGTTCCTTTCAGTATTCGATTCCTTTCTTTCTCAACGAAACTATCTAATACATTCATGTATTCAAAAACAACCAAATATGGTCGAATGTTGTCAATGGAGGATACATTAATTACCAAATAATTATGCACCCTTACTTGTAGCAGTTTGTGTTGAATTTATTGTAACTTCCAAGTCCGTACAACACAGCGAAGCAAACTGCCAAACTGTAGAGAACTTGTCCTCCAGCATCTAACCACACCTGAAAGGAATATACCAATGACAGATCAATTTATAACTTTATGAAAGTTTTCGATGTGGGGCGATGAAAACTAAATCCTTAAACGTGATCTCGGAAAATCAAGTGTTTCGTCATAATGCGATATAGAACTTTAAATGCCGCCTGAAGGGTTCTAGTGTATACCGAACCAATAGTCGTACAACGACCGAAAAATGAATCACGCGATATACCAATAGATTCAATTATATAAAACCGTATTATACTGTATCTTCATATAAGCATAATGGGTCACCGAAATTAATTAGTAGAGATAGATATTATGATCCCAGCCGCCATTTGAATGACCCCCCCAAAGTATATTGTTTTCGAGGAATTTGGAAACTACAATTTTCTTCAAGCTGTTACAAATATATTTATCAGGTTACTTGTCTATTATCTATACATTTCTTACATTGGGATCAGCGAGTTTATCTAATCGAGGTGTAATGTAGAAGAGAACTCCTGTGCCAGCTCCCTCCAGAGTTGCTCCGCGTATGAGTAGTACAAACATCATGATATACGGTGCTATCACGGTCACATAGGCAACCTGAAATGATAAAACAGATCTATTGTCGTGCGTTAAAATGATATGTTATCGATGAAATCACACATCTTAAATGAATAATAGAGAAAAACGTTTAGTCCAGTCTTGTCCAAACTTGGTTAAAATTCTCACCTTCCCGGTAGTTCGGATTCCTTTCAACACACAGAGATAGCAGACAATCCAAGAAAATGCGAAGCATAATATCATTCTCCAATTCGTAAAAGTGCCCATATCGTGGATGCCTTCAGTTCTTCTCAGTACGTAGTTACTGCAAAATTCGAAATGTTTCACAATAAGTAAAACTAGATGGACACTAGCAAAAGAATCTGACTACAAAAATTTTATTTCAGTAATGCATGGTAAAATTAGCGAATATGGGCGAAGTGTGTGTCCTCAATGAGAACAATGAAGTACTTGACGCGTTTCCTGTTGTTGCGATTTGCGTGACATCTTAGCTTAGTGGAATGGTTCTCAACTAGCAGAGAGTCAAACCAAGGTTCATTTATCACCGGGATAAAAAAAAAGTTAGGTTAATAAGCTGAGCAAATTACCCAGTGTGTAGATATTCAATTTCGGTAACTTGACATCGATAAAACATTGTTTGGTCCATAATAGTACAGACAATCTCATTGCGTGAGGAATTTTGTATTCACGCGGTTGCAGTATGCTGATTTTAACAAGGCAGAGCCGCACATCACCTTGTACGTGTGGTCGGACAATTAATGGCGAAGTTTTAAAACGAGCTTCTCCTACATGCCGTTATACCTTTAAAAATTATTCTTTTGGAGGACGGACCATAGGTTGGACCAATCAGTGACCCATGATTGACGAAACATGCGAAGGCTCATTGAATGGGCACGGCGCATTTTGCTCTTGAAACAATAAACACGTTTACGCGTTTTGAATCTCGTGGGAAAACTATAATTATAGCTCGTCCTCTCGTACGCAAGAACTCTCGAAATCGTTTGACAAACGCGCCTACTATGCATTCAGTTGAAACCGACCGAACAAAACAAACTAGCCAAGCAAAGATGCGCAAGGGTTCTTGAACAGTCGTAATCTGACCACTGTCAGAGAGTATATCGCCATACAGTGGCACAGCCAGGATGACCAAGAAAGTGGCTCATACAGAGTGCAATTTTCACATGGCCAATTTTGTTTTAAGCGCTGGTTGCTTTCATCAGTGGGACGTGGATATTTAGGCCGTGAACATCTGTCTCATGTCGGTAAACTGTATTTCACAAATTCCCCCTATCTGAGTAGTATTCCCCTGCGCATGTACGCATTGTTTCGCGAGCACATCATTACTTATTATTTTACTATGCCCGGAACTGCCCAGTGTGTAAAACTCGTTATTATGCGATCATCGGTGACCAGATGATACATATATTCAAAGGAGTTAGGAACTTAGGACAGACTAGCTGATATAAAATATAACGAAAACGCCATAAATTTTGTTTCAGGGGCGCCGCGATTGACAAAAGAAAGCTATTTAAGAAGTTGTGAATCGCCGAAATTTTTCAAATTACCGCCGGGCCGCACTCTACTCTTTCCCTGATTATGATAATATATATATAAGCTAATAAATGTAAAGATGTCCAATGATTTTTTTGTTGCAAAAAAATAGTGCTCGTGGAAATTTTTATGTCCGACCTTGGGATTTTTTTCAAATTTGACGAATAAGCAAGATTGCAGAATAGGATAAAATCTATTTATAATCGGACAGTTTACGCGTATATTTATGACTGCGGATTGCCGAAATATTTTAGCGTTGTAATCCTTTTAATCTGTCGTCAAAACTAAAAGTAAACGGGATGTTTACCAGGCATTCTCGTGTCGGCAGGTTGCAATGGTATTTTAGAGGAGTAATGCTTTTATTTTGACGGATGCATCTGCATGTTACGCGAACTCTTATAACGAGCGGCGTAATCACAGCAAGTATGTCAGATTTCGTCGTCTGGGAATTTCTGATTTTGATCCCCTTTTGAAAATCTTGGCCATCCTGTCGCCATAAGTTTTTGTACAGCACAACGTAATTTAGCACAACGTCGCACTTCAAGTACCCATTGTTTTGGCCTATTGAAATTGTTTGCTATCCGTGAAGTTTAGCAAAAACGGAACAGTATCCGACAAATTATTTGTTTTTCAAGTAGGGTTTGCGGCCTCTGAATAATTATTAATTAAATTGCCCTAGTTGCAGCACGTAGGTTTAACAATTAGAAATTAAAAATAATAGTGTCATCCATAAGAGTGCTATTGAGCCGCCATGAAGACAGCGGGTATGGTTTTTAGAGCAGTCACATAGCCGGAGTACAGTGCACTTGATAATTCCGAATACATTCCAAATTATTTTTTTAACCAGCCATGAAAGTAAGTTTGGACTCCAGACGGACGAAGTGTATTGCAGGCATGAGTTTTATATTATGACTCGTAGCTCACAGGGGCGAACAAAATGAAACTACCAAATTGACCAACGATTTAGAAACTTCGCATTGGCATGAACATGAACCAATATTATCAAAATAGTCAAGAATTATCAAAAATACCGCAACAAACAGTGCCGCGCGGTCGCACAGAAGATGACAACCAATCAAAGCGCCGATTCTATTTCACCGTAAGAACAACACGTGACAAAACGCATTTGGGCTTCTGATGATTTCCGTTCAAAACGGAACTTCCCAAGCCGAAAAGTAGTCATTATGCTGAAATGTTCCAAAAGTAACTGAAAAACTAATCGAATACTTTGATATTTGAATATTTTCAATTCGTTTTGTACAGCCCTGAATTTGGTTTCCAATTGAATTTTACCATAATAAATGTGACGAATACGTACTTCCAGAATTCTTCAGTAGATGTTGTTGTGTTAGCCGATGTCACATTCAGCAAAGATGTGTTCAAATTCTTGGAATCGTTGAGAATAATAGACGGCCTACACGAGTCTGTATTCCAATCATTATCTATAAGTATAAAAAAGTTTTCATTTAATGACTCACTTTGTTTACTCGACTCATACATTAACCAAAACCATAAACTAATTTTGCAATTTTTAAGAGTGAATCATCAACGAATAAGGCCACGTTCAAATTAATGAAGGCCAGCGATTTTGTTGATTCGATGCATTCCAACCTCTGATAACGATCGCAGAGTAAGGGGAAGTAGTTATCTAGTCATTGCAGCAGTGGCCGCACAATAATAATATGCGATTTTATATTTCTGTTGTGCCATATGTTCCCCCAACGACTATTTGACTATGAAACAGAGAACAAAGCATTCGCCAGGCTCATTTGTTTATATTCTAACAATAAATATCGCTATTTCTGCTCAGCAAACAAAAATAACTGAAATGGAGCAGAAAATCAATGAAAAACGCGATTCACCGACAGTCTTAACATTCTAAACCAAATTAACATGAAGATCGAGTGATCATGTTTGTCCTGTCTCATGTTTGAAGCGACGGATTACATATTGACGCACGAGCGACCTTAATACCATGATGCATCGTGCAACAGTGGTGTTATCTATTTCTAATTCAAATTTGCGAAGTGCGCAGATTAATGATAAAAAAGGGCCTTATCGATTCAATGTAAATTGATTTATTTGTGAAACGTTCACAATTACAAAAAAAAAATACCCTTACCGCATGTTGACCATGGCAGAGGTCCGGTTGTAAATGAATGAACAATATAAAATACGACCCACGCCATCACCACCATGATGTAGCTCAGAAAATACCAAGATAACAACAGGCCACTGATTCCAATACCCTGAAATAGATAGATATAATAAAATTGTGAGTGTTGGTGTCAAAAGTATAATTTGCACAGAGTTCGACGTAAGCTATCATTGGATTGAGTTCCAAAAAATAGCATTGTGGTGTAGTTTAAATCAATAGTATGCATTTCGCTTTACAGACTTCTTAATTGTTTTCGTTCTATATCTGCTTCAGATAAAGATAAGAATAATCATATTTGAATACAGCACCTAATTTTACAAATTTTGAACGATTTAATAGCTATGATATATTTCTATTCCCTAAGATGTAACGAACTCATTTGTCAAATACTATGTCCTCATTTAACAGGATGACGATCATTCACAACAAACGGATAACGGGTTGAATTCAACACAACAAAAAGCGCAATAAACAGGAAATGAAATGTGAGGTGCACACATAGATCAAAATACCACGCAAACTTGTTTCTAACGCTGTTAATTTTTATCAAACTTTTCGTGTTTCACTCACGTAGAGTGGGTGTGAATCTGGTTCATTATACAATAACAGTAACACAGGTACTTTATGTCACCATTCCCTTTGCAATAAAACGCAATTGGTTTCACGTTATTTCATTTCAGCCATGTATTTTGAGGTGAAAATACCAAACGCAAACACAGGTACTGTATGTCACGTTTCCCTTCGCAATATATACACAATTGGTTTCACGTTATTTCATTTCAGCCATGTATTTTTAAAATACTAAACGCAAAGAGCTATACTAAACGGTAAACCCATACCTTCATCAAGGGCACCAAATCCCAAGCACCGAAACAACTATGTTTGGTGAATTGTCCGAGAGCAACTTCTTGAAACAGAAGCGGCAAACCACAAAATCCCGCTACGAGTAAGTACGGAATGAGAAACGCACCTGAATAAACATGAGTAAATATTCTAACCAAAGTATAAATCTTGCTAGGTTGGGTTGGGGCCTATAAATATTACTCATTTGAGGAAAATTAGTAGTAAGCTTACTAGATGAAATACAAACATGGGCCTTTTAAAATATAACTAACAATTAATTTGTTACCTCCGCCATTCTTGTAGCATAAATAAGAAAATCTCCAAACATTTCCAAGACCGACATTGTAGCCAATGACATTAAGAAGAAATTCCAGTGGGCGATTCCAAGTGATTCTGAAGAATAAGATAAAATATTACATTGTATAGTAAATTCTAGTTTCGAAGATCTGTTCACAACAAAGTTCTGGAAAGGCAGTCTCTGATTGTATAGGGGCTTCTATGTTTTCGAATGAATTGAATTTTTCTTCTGAATTACATAGGCATAGCCTATAAACACTATTAGTCAAATTTATGTACATAACCGAATCTTGTTTTATAAATCATAATTCAAAATATTTTCTCGTAATGATGTGGCAAGCTTTAACAAGATTGCGTGGCGTCTAAAGACAGGTACATGAATCCAGTTCCCAAAGCTGGGTTGCTACGGGTAAACTCGACGACCGAATCGCTTCGTTCGTTAAACTGTAACGACTTGATTGAATTGTTTTGCTATTCAGTAACGTTATTTTCATATTTACCTCGTTGATGACTCATTTTCAGTCTTCTTTTTCTCTACAAATTCTTGCGTTTCTTTCGTGTCCATTTAAACTATTTTCTACTTTACTCCAATACAAGAACAATGAGAATTGGGTATATTATTTTATAGATAGAATATTACTCTGTATAAAATTAGCAGTATATATGTTTAATTGTTAATATATCGGAGAATTCAATCATTTTTCCAAATCGACACCCCAGTATTTTACAACTCGCTCAGTCGCAAGGCTTTGATATTCATTACGTGAAATTCTGCCGACAACCGTTGTTGCGAATGATACACGGCCACATTATATTTAAATATACAATATATATAAAATTTGATATTATATTATACAGTATTATAAACGATAACCAATTCACTGGAACACTTCATACTGACAAACTCCTGTCTGACTGAAGTGACACTAATACATAAATTGAACAAAACTCCTTGTTAAATAATTTTCTACAGACGAAATACGAGAGATGCTATCGTATTGATATCACAAAGTAAAAGTCTTGTATCGTCTTCTCAACTACTTTTCGCACGAGGCATATTTATTTAATCGACATCCTCGCGTAAGTGTTTTGTTTGCAGTCATCTAGTTCCGTTCTGAATAATGTTTTCGTGCCTGCGGTCCAAGTTGTACATTGCCAATTTTAATGCGATGAGTCGTCTATTATACAATGGCACATGACTATATAGAAACACCCACCTATGCCTCGGGTTATAAATTACAATAAAAACCTAACTGAGTGGAGCTGAAAGAAAGAGTCCCACAGCACATATGACAATCTCTACGCGCCATGTCTCTTTTAAAAGATTGGTGCACAAGCCGTCCGAGTTTCCGGAATGCAGCTCTGTCGACTAGTTCTTGTTTACGTAGTATTACGCGAAAACATTCTACCGACGTCAAATTCCCAAGTGTAGCTTTGGGAAATCCGGATATTCTGTAAAGTAGACTCAGTAAAAAGCAGCATCGATTCCAATTTAACTAAACGATTTTTACCTAAATTCAACAGTGAGCATGAAACGCGAAATCATCATTGCACAATACAAATATATTTGCAAATCCTATTTCTAGTTTCTGTATTTTGGTAAATTATTACTCTAACAAAAATGTTAGGCGGCCCAGAAACACTTTAACATACGATATTTTTGTGATAGAATTGCAACATATGGACTAACTGTTCAGGTCAGTGGATTGGTAATTTCTATTTCTTTGTTGAGCGCGAGTACGGCATTTCCGGATGTTTTTCAGCTCATAATACCACTTGATAAACTAACTTAATTTTATTACCCAGGATATTCACTTAGTTTATTAATTAGGTCGTTCTAGGAAGTTTTAATGTATGAATGAAATATAATATCGATCATATTTTGGCTGCGTCAGTTCTCCGGCCATTTTTAATTCCCTATGGATGCATCCTCTCAACAAAATATTGTTTTAAATTTGGTCATAAACTATAACAATTAGATGCCGAAAACGAAATACTTAGCCACATATTCAGAAATGGGGATGTTTATACAAAATAGTTATGCGGAATCTGATGATATATCACGACAATTGAGTTGTCTCGTTTTTGAATTTATACATTTGAAGTGCATGGCACACCAAAAATTGAAATAAACAGCCGAATATATAAACTGCCTATAATATCTAAAACTGATTTTGTACGAATTAATTTGAATAATTATATTCACTACAGCATTCTTGCATTATAGTAAGTAGTTAATACAAATCCAGAAACCAAATCGATAGCATTAATAAGACTGTAGTACTTTGTCGCTTTAGGATGAAATGGATTAATATTTAGCTAGCATAATCCTATAAAATATACATCCGTGGGGCATACAACAATATTAAATAAAACGATTCGATAAAAAGTGGGAAAAAATTTATAGCACTTAGCAGTATAAATAAAGTTGCCTATGTATTTATATCCTGACGTCAAAATTGATCTAAAATACTTTAGAAAATGTTGCATCATCTGATGCATTTGGATTATCAAATTAAATATTTATGGATCATACGAATTTCATACCTCAAGTGAACAGGTATACTGATTGACCAGTGAGTTGAATGTAACTGTCAAATATCTGTGAAACTCGCAAAAATATTGCTATGTTTATCACACTATGCTCCCAAAAGCCTAAAATGATATATATGTATACAAAACACATATCACACAGATTTTTTGCGTCTGTTATACAAATACATATGAAACTGCTGACATTTTCAATGCTCTCTGCTGCTATATGTAGACGTGGAATCGCTATCTTTCGCAGTCTGAGCTTCTTTCATATCTTACGTATTGCAGCATTTCCCTAAATGTATATATTAAATTTTTTCTTTACCTGCATCAACTACCTTTCCGTTTGAAGACACAGTGTCAAAAATTGTTAGTGAACTAACATCAGCAAGCAATATTACATCAGACATAAATGATAATTCGAGCGCTCTTTTTTCAGCTTCCTGCATACTGTCGGTGTTTGTTCGATAAAGGCAGCAGATTCAATTTATCAATCTGGACAACAATAAAATACAAACCTCTAATAAAATCAATATCAGCATTCGCGGGTCGGAAATTACTCGAGGAATACTGGGTGTTTACGGTCGACCGCTCAGTAGAGTACCAATGCCCGTGATAATATCACTCACTGCTGTTCCTAAAAATTGTCAGATGAAAACAACACGACAATAGTGAAAAATAAAGCGGAATATATTCCCGGACCTTTGTTCGGAATTTATCAAGTCTTAGCCTCGCAAGTGAGTATCGAAGGTAATTACCTCCCATCAATATATCAAACTATTCTACTCTTAAACTGAAAGATCAATGTCACAGTGATACACAGTACAAAACGTAACAACGGCCAAACCGTCGATACGACTCTTGGATCGGAAATTATTCAAGACCGCGTGTTGGTCATGCAACACCGCGCTATAGTACGCGACTGAAGGACGTACTCTCTCGCACAGCACCCTCGAACCGATTAAGATTACAACAACGATCAGTAAGCTTTTGACAAACCTCGGATCACATAGGCTATGTATGTGACATAGAAAAAAAATATTCAAATTAGGGTACGGTTAATTGTCTGCTTGAACATTAAACAAACACCACTATATAATAGATTGAGCCAATAAGGAATAAGTTATTCAAACAAACGTAAATTAGTTCCTGACACCTATTACTGCAAAATATAACAGATTGTCTAACCCAGAACCACAGATGTTCTGCGCATAGTTGATATAATTAGGACATCTGGGTAGTAAAACTCAGCACGAAATCGCGTGTCGCGCGACTTTCGTGTCTCAGGAGCTGCACTGCATAGATTTTCGTCGTGAAGTCTCTAGCGAAGAGAGGCATAGCAACCAGACAAATCAAGGCAGGTCGAACATTAATACGACCATCCGAGAAAACAAACTAACTCAATCCGGATATGACTGCATTTCTCGTTTTATTTTTGTATATACTGCGGACGGATTTAGGGTGTAATCCGATTTGCACGCTTTATCTACCACCTCTGTCTGTATTCAAAAACTTTGAAGTATTTGTAGTCACCAAAACCAACTAAGAAGCCGAGATATATTTCTTCAACGTTTCGTCTGAACAAGGCCAGGCTTCCTCAGACATACACAAAACAACTCTATCATCCTTGAATTATATGCAAACATAGTAGAACTATGTATGTCTGATCTTGGCCAGACGAAACGTGACATAAATATATTTGTGTTAGCGTTAGGGCTGGGCATTTTCGAATACCTTGTGATTTCAGAATCGAATCGAATAATTTTTCCGAATCGAATCGAATCGAATCTCGAATACTTGAAAATATATAATTGTAAGCGACTTTATTATAATAATTGGTCCTCTCAACAAATGAATTACTGAAGACATAGAATAAATCACTCAGATAGATTACTGAGCTTTCACACAGAATAACAAACACGTTTTATCAATAACTCACTACAGAAAATAGTCATATGTTCGAACTTCGTTGAAAAAATATGACTCCAATGAAAAAAAAAATTGGGGAATTCACGTCGACCATTAGCGGAAAGATAAAAACAAGATGGCGGCGATTCGAAATTTAGCTCTGAACCGATTCGAATAATTTACTATTCGATTCGATTCGAATATTCGATTCGAAATGCCCAGCTCTAGTTAGCGTGCACCAAGACTCTTGAATCATTAAGAATAGTATTATTTAATTGCTAAAGCATCCTTGTATTGTATGCATACGGATCTACAAACACAAAAGCAACGATAAGTAGTTAGCCCTGCAGAAACCAAATCAACAGCGCAATTTATTTAATGGTGCGAAGTTTTGTGAATGACATCACATGATTTGATAAATAAAGAACAATGCTCAGATATATGGACACGATAGCTAAGGGTCAAATGACTACTAATATGACTAATGTGAATATGTTAAAAGAATTGCGAGGTATGAGGTATATATAAAAAAAGCAACATCGTAATATCGGACGCCGTAAGAGTCGGAGAAAGTAATAGCCTCCTAACTATTCTACAGATCTTTTGTACAAAGCCTCCGCCAAAAAAAAACACTCCCACCATAGCTAAAAAAAATAAGAAAATATTTAGTTAGGGTTTGGGTTAGGAATGCAGATCTCAAATTTTTGCATTAGTGGCGTTAGCTTTGTACGAAAGCTTCTTCTTTCATCTTTAGATATACTCTGGAAATTTGAAATCAATTGTCAAGTCAAGTCAAGTTTATTTTTTCCAACCAGTAAAAAACAAAAAACACATGCAAAAATATATAGAAAAAATGATATTTAAATTACTGGGGAAGGGAAGCCGCGGGGAACCAAAACTGGTTATCGAGCTGCGACACCCAAGGTTCTAACACCTAGTTTGACAGATCGGGGAAAGAGTTTCAACGAATAGATACCATATAAATTTTACAAATGCAAAGGAAGCAAATTTTGTTTTATTTACAACAACAACAATATCCGGAATAAACCAGCGAGAATAACGACCATTCTGTAGGGCGATCCAATAATTTGAACTGGCTCATACCGTCCCTTTACAATTGTTATCGAAATATATAAAAAACAAACACGCGTTCAACTATAATATCTTGTCAGGCAAACAAATACAATAAAATGCTAAATAGCTTGAGTCCTTGAA